CTGAAAATTAATAACTAATCTCTCTGAGGACACGGTGCTCCTACAGCACCTTGACACGACTCAATAAGTATTATGCAACATTTTGTGAACATCAATTTATTTGCGTTTATTTGTTATAAATGCCACTGTATAATTCTTGCTGTCAGTATTTGCAAGATATTGGTATTTGGGTCTGTACTGGTTAGACTTAAATGAGTTAAACCAAGGTCTACAGCCCTTGGGTCATAAACTATGAGCTATAAATATATTGGTCTTTTTATACTGGGAATCAGGAGTTATTTTAGTGATCATCTTGTTTCTTATTTTTGTCCTGATTGTGCCCTGAGCAATTTTATGGCTGAATAAAAACAAATAAAATCAACATAAATTGAAAAATCGTCCTAAATAATCGTGATCTCAATTTCAGTCACCATAATCGTGATTATTATTTTCGCCATAATCGAGCAGCCCTATCAGGACCTTCCAAAAAAGATACGCCAGGAGTTTCTAACCTCATCAATCGGTCATTATTCCTAAAGCAGTTCTCGAACAACGGCTCCTACTACTGTACTACTGTAATACACACTTCTATTACTGTAATACACACTAGTATTACAGTAATACTTGTGTGTACTACTGTAATACACACTAGTCTTACAGGAATAGACACTGGTATTACTGTAATACTCAGTAGTATTACTGTAATACACACCAGTATTACAGGAATAGACACTGGTATTACTGTAATACTCAGTAGTATTACTGTAATGCACACTAGTATTACAGTAATACATACATTTCAATGTAATACACACAAGTATTACCGTGATACACACATATTACTGTAATATACACTAGTATTACAGTAATACACACTAGTATTACAGTAATAAACACATATTACTGTAATACACACTAGAATTACAGTAATACACACATATTACAATAATACAGACATATTACTGTAATACACACTAGTATTACAGTAATACATACATTTCAATGTAATACACACAAGTATTACCGTGATATACACATATTACTGTAATATACACTAGTATTACAGTAATACACACTAGTATTACAGTAATAAACACATATTACTGTAATACACACTAGAATTACAGTAATACACACATATTACAATAATACAGACATATTACTGTAATACACACTAGTATTATAGTAATACACATATATCACTGTAACACACACTAGTATTACAGTAGTACACACTTGTATTACAGTAATGCACACATATTACAGTAATACACGCATATTACTGTAATACACACTAGTATTACAGTAATACATACTAGTATGGGTGGGGGGGGGGGTCTGAATCAACTGTATGAGATGGCTGATGTTCTTCCATATAACGCACATTTAATTCATAATATTTTAAATACAGGCTTATAATTCCTTCACGTTTTTCTGAATTGTGTGAAATGGCCTAAAAAATAAGAGGAAAAGCAAAACGATTTTGTGGTCACCCACCAAGGTCAGTTGGTTTAGTCTTTACTCATGGTTGTTGTAATTGACGATTTGAAACCTGTTTATTCAGTCGAGTGCCAAACGAAATGGACAGAAAAAGGTGAAAACCATCAGGTGCCCAGTTCAGACAAAGAGGAGAAATGGGCTAAAGATAAAGGTAGTGCGTTCTCATGCTAGGATGCACGTTTAAATTTTTTTTAAACCGGTTAACTGGGGACTTTAACGGTTAAATTCGGTCAAGTAATTGCTAACAGAGCAAACAGGGCTGAAAGTTTGAAACGAATGGTTCGAATAAATTCCTTAATGATTCTGTCACAAACGTGCCGGTGAGCGAAGCGGAGGTGTGGATCCACACGCGGGTGAAGAAGCAGGCAGGTAGGCAGACAGGAACGTTTAAAACATGGATTTATTCAGGGACACGTAGGACAATGAAACAATGAACCAACCAGACAAAATGGACTAACAGGGTTTAAATACAGGAGGAGCAGGGATCTTGGGTGATTGGGAAACGAGAGGCAGATGGGAGCAGTTAACATGAACACAGGACTGAACCGAATGGGGAGACAGGACAGGGTGTGACAGTACACCCCCACCCCCACCCGCCCACCCAAAAGGGCGGATTCCAGACGCCCACAGGAACATAGAGCAGGGCAGGAGGAGGGGGACCCGGAGGCCGGGCCGAGAAGGACCGAGGGACCGACGGAGAGGAGGCAGGGACAAGTAGAGTCCGGGGACCTGTGCCTGGGTCAGAGGAGGCGACGACGGGCTCTTGGGGGCCTGCGCCTGGGGCAGAGGAGGCGGCGATGACGGGCTCTTGAGGGCCTGCGTCTGTGGCAGAGGAGGCGGCGATGACGGGCTCTTGGGGGCCTGCGTCTGTGGCAGAGGAGGAGGCGACGACGAACTCTTCGGGGCCTGCGTCTGTGGCAGAGGAGGAGGCGACGACGGGTCTTGCGGGCCTGCGTCTGTGGCAGAGGAGGAGGCGACGACAGGTTCTTGGGGGCCCGCGCCTGGTGAGGGCAGGACTGGCGGTGACCGGAGGCAGAGACGCCGGAGGACACGTCTTTGACTTCTGGACTGGAGGCGACGGCGACCACCTCAGGGCTGGAGGCGGCGGCGACGACCTCAGGGCTGGAGGCGTCGTCGTCGGCCTCTGGGCTGGAGGCGGTGGCGTCGGCCCCTGGACTGGAGGCTGCGTCGTCGGCCTCTGGGCTGGAGGCGGCGGCGTCGGCCTCTGGGCTGGAGGCGGCGTCGACCATTGGGCTGGAGGCGGCATCGACCACTGGGCTGGAGGCGGCGGCGTCAACCACTGGGCTGGAGACGGCGTCGTCGACCACTGGACTGGGGACGTTGACCACTGGACTGGGGACGGCGGCGACCACTGGACTGGGGACGTTGACCACTGGACTGGAGACGGCAGCGACCACGGGACTGGAGACGGCGTTGACCACTGGACTGGAGACGGCGTCGACCACGGGGACTGGAGACAGCGTCGACCACTGGACTGGAGACGGCGGGGGACTGGAGACGGCGGGGACGTTGGACTGGAGGGGACGTCATCCTCTGGACTGGAGGGGACGTCGACCTCTGGACACGAAGGAGCGTCAACCTCTGGACACGAAGGAGCGTCGACCTCTGGACACGAAGGAGTGTCGACCTCTGGACTGGAAACAGCGTCGACCTCTGGACTGGAAAGAGCGTCGACCTCTGGACTGGAAAGAGCATCGACCTCTGGACTGGAAGGGGCGTCGACTTTAGGACTGGAAGGAGCGTCGACCTCAGGACTGGAAGGGGCGTCGACCACAGGACTGGAAGGGGCGTCGACCACAGGACTGGAAGGGGTGTCGACACCTGTCGACTTCTGGTCCGGAGGCATCCACTTCTGGTCCGGAGGTGTCGACTTCGGGACCGTCGGCATCTGGTCCGGGGGCGTCGACTTCTGGTCCGGAGGCATCGACTTCTGGTCCGGGGGCGTCGGCTTCGGGACCGTCGGCATCTGGTCCGGGGGCGTCGACTTCTGGTCCGGAGGCGTCGACTTCTGGTCCCGGGGCGTCGACTTCTGGACCGTCGACTTCCGGACCGTCAGCTTCTGGACTGTCGGCTTCTGGACTGTCAGCTTCTGGACCATCGGTTTCTGGAGTGGAGGAGGAGTTGTTGCAGATGGGACCACTTGGACAGGCTGGACCGGATGCGGTGCGACCTCCGGGACCACTGCTGGAACTGGATGTGGTACGACCTCTCGGACCACCACGGGAACTGGATGCGGTGCGACCTCCGGGACCACCGCTGGAACAGGATATGGTGCGACCTCCGGCACCACCACGGGAACAGGATGTGGTGCATCCACCGGGAACACTGCTGGAACAGGATGCGGTGCGACCTCCGGAACCACCGCTGGAACAGGATGCGGTGCGACCTCTGGGACCATTGCTGGAACTGGAGCTGACTGAACTGGTGGTGCCGGAAACTGGGAGAGCAGGGAAGATAGATTGTCCAGCTGGAGCTCCTGGAGACTGAGGCTCTGATGAAGTTGGGCCAGCTCAGCTTGGAGATCGGCGAGCTCTGCTGAGTGGACTGCGGGCTCGATCCTTTGGCCAAGAGATGAGGGAGCTGCAGGCTGTACCGGAACCTTCTCCTGGTGATTCGGGGAGGATAGGGTGTCCAGCTGGAACTCCTGGAGGTTGACGAGCTGATGGATCCGGCCAAGCTCTGCCTGGAGGCCGGCGAGCTCTGTCAGCTGGGCTGTAGGAGTGGTTCCTCCGCCTGCAGATGACGGAGGTGCTGATTGGACCGCTGGTCTGACTGGGGGCGGGTCCAAGCTGGCGAGCCGGAGCTGCGGCGAGCTTGCGGCTCCATCCCAGTACCAGGGGTGATGGTGGAGCCCGGCATCCTTCCCAATGCCGTGGGCCAGCTCCGGGGGAGCACACAGCCAGTCTGGTGCCCACGTAGCAGGAGCGGTCTAGCTGCGTCTCCTGGTCCAACCTCGCATCTAGCTCTGGGAGGACGGAGGGGATCGTCGCAGCCGGGGTTCGGCGATGGCGTCTGCGGCGAGACGAGACCAGAGGAGGAGAAGCTGGCCGGTGATCTGCGGTTAAAAACTGGAGCAAACACTCACAAGGAAGAACCTCCCCGCTGGATCCTTTTCTGGGTTGGTTCATTCTGTCACAAACGTGCCGGTGAGCGAAGCGGAGGTGTGGATCCACACGTGGGTGAAAAAGCAGGCAGGCAGGCAGACAGGAACGTTTAAAACATGGATTTATTCAGGGACACGTAGGACAATGAAACAATGAACCAACCAGACAAAATGGACTAACAGGGTTTAAATACAGGAGGAGCTGGGACCTTGAGTGATTGGGAGACGAGAGGCAGGTGGGAGCAACATGAACACAGGACTGAACCGAATGGGGTGACAGGACAGGGTGTGACAGATTCAAGCACCAGGATTCGTCAAATGTGCACTGCAGCCTGCCTCCTGAACAACAACAAAAACAGGTTGATAATGGTTCATGTTCACATAATAATGAGCAAACTCTACAAGCTGAAAAAAGTCCCCAGTCCAAACTAACTAGCTGTTATTAGCATTTCCAGTGCTACTGAACATGTTTATGGAATACATTACTGGCCTACTGATCATAGTGTAACTGTGGATATATTCAGATATGTTATTTCACATCTTTAGCAGCAGACCACAGTCTTGTTTGGACAGATTTGTCAGAAGTGTGGCTCCTTCATTGCATTTGTTACACTGATTATTTTTCACATAGTTTGTTCTGTAATAAAATCAAGGGATGTCTCGCCCGGGGAGTAATTCCATGTAGAACCGCCACTGAGTATTACAGTAGTTCACACTAGTATTACAGTAATACACACATATTATAGTAATACACACATATTACAGTAATACACACATATTACTGTAATACACACTAGTATTACAGTAGTACACACTCGTATTAAAGTAATACACACATATTACAGTAATACACACACATTACAGTAATACACTCATATTACTGTAATACACACTAGTATTACAGTAATACACACATATTACTGTAATACACACTAGTATTAATGTAATACACACATATTACTGTAATACACACTAGTATTTTCATTTATTTCCTGTTTAATCCGCTGGGTCTTCCTTACGTGGAGCTAAACCTGCAGTGTGTTTTCTTTTTAAACTAATGTATGAAGTTGGGAGCAACGTGTCTGAAAATGTCACCGCGCGCGAGCATCGATCCGCTCCTGAATCATTCCACCTTAAATAAACCTGAGTTAGTTCCCCTCAGACAGAAGGCTGCTGCGTTTGTGGACAGAAGAGGAAACCTTAACTGATCTTTACCGTTCTGCCCTTGAAGAACATGACGCTGGAGTTTGTTTCAGAATCGATGTAGAAGTTCAGTCAGAGGAACCTGCGCTCAGCAGCAGCTGCGTGGCCTCCTTAACGTCCATCTCTCACAAACACAAACGAACAAACAAACTTCTCCTTCGACCACAGGATAAAACATCTACAACTCCGCTTCACTTCCGCGTGCCTACAGGCAGCAACACCGTGTGCGAGGAACACAGGTGTGCCAGTGTTTTACCTGGAGGGGTGATGACGTTATCTGTCATTTAGAATACGAACGTCAAAGCTGCGTTCAAGTTCTACAGTGACAGTCGGTGAGCTGGTTTCACAATACTGGGGAGTTTCTGCTAAGTTTCTTTAGAACCAAACCACGTGTGTGTGTGTGTGTGTGTGTGTGTGTGTGTGTGTGTGTGTGTGTGTGTGTGTTCTTAATAAATACTGAGGACCATTTTCATTATTATCCCAACAAAGTGACGACATTTTAGTTAGGGTTAGGGTTAGATCAGCATTGGCTATGGTTAGGGTCAGGCAGAGGTGTGACCAAGTCACTGATTTGCAAGTCACAAGTAAATCACAAGTCTTTTCAGTCAAGTCTCGAGTCAAGTCCAAGTCAAAGACGACCAAGTCCAAGTCGAGTTCAAAGTCAGTGATGTGGAAGTCCAATTCAAGTCCAAGTCCTTAACTTTGAATTTTCAAGTCATAATCAGGTCATTTGTCCAACTTCAATTTAATGACAATGATAATAAATAAATAGCAGAAATAAAACTTCCTAAAGTTTAATTTATTTGTTCAAACAAGCAGAAAGCGCAGCTGAACTTGATCATAAACAAAGTGCTGCTGCATTTAGCAGTACAAGATCTAACCCAGAACGAAGAATGATTTATGACTTTTGTCAATGCCATGCCACTTTTGTGCTAAAATATCAAATACGGTCAAGTCAACAGATGCAAGTCGATTCAAGTCGTAAGTCACTGGTGTTCAAGTCCGAGTCAAGTCATAAGTCTTTATAGATTTTATCAAGTCAAGTCATAAGTCATTAAAATAATGACTCGAGTCTAACTCGAGTCCACACCTCTGGGCTTAGGGTGTGGGTTAGGCATAGTGGAGTCACATTAATGAATGGAAGTCAATGGGTGGTCCTTACTATTGTAACGTTGTGAAAGGCTAACAAATTTATTTGACCACAGCAATTTCGGAGGTCGACAGAAATTGTAATTCAATTCAATTCAAGTTTATTTATAAAGCGCCAAATCACGACAAGAGTCGTTTCATGGACCTTCAACATTCCAAGCCAATCAGTAAAAAGTTTCCTATATAAGGAACCCAGCAGGTTGCATCGAGTCACTGACTAGTGTCAGTGACTCGATGCAGTTCTCATACTAAGCAATCATTTAGTGACAGTGGAGAGGAAAACTCCCCTTTAACAGGAAGGAACCTCCAGAGGATCCTGGCTCAGTATAAGCAGCCATCCTCCACGACTCACTGGGGATGGAGAAGACAGAGCACACACACACACACGCACACACACACGTACACACACACACACACACACACACACACACACACACACACACACACAACATATATACCAAGCAATGTGTCTATGGTTACATTGTGATTTCTTAGTAAATATTCTATTTGGTGAGAGATAAACTTTATTGTATTTATCCTAGTGGATCTATAATTAAACGCACTGACGTCGTTAGGTCCGTTTTAGGGGGGCTTCAGCCACCCTAAAATAATCACAAGCCCCCCTATCATTTTGAGTTTTTTTAGGGCTGGGACTTTAACGCGTTATTATGATTAATTAGAAAAAAATTAAAAAAAATTCACGCATTTAATCGCAGCTTGCATTTCGAGCACGGCGGAACCTTTGTCATTGCACGACTTCCTCGTAGACAAAATATCACTGACGCACACAACAATGCACAGTGATAATGGCTACTAACGGAATAAAAACAGAAAGAAGTTGCCTTGCTTGGACTGATGCAGGATTTAGGAAACACGTCCGCCTCTTTTCTTAACTTGAAAAAAAAAACTTCCAGACAACAACGGAGTCTGTGTCGCGGACATTTTTCAGAGATCGTCTCTGCTTCGGCTGCCCGGTGGCACAGGAAACTTTACAAAAGTTGCGGTAAGCTATATTTTTAACATTTACGTAACACCTATGCAGCGCTGAAAGCACCAGACAGAATAATTCTGTGCCCTAATAGTAGTTTATGAAAGTAAGACAAACGAGAGGCACCTGGCTGCCGCTGGGAGAATGCTCCGTGTTCTCACTTCTCTGTAAACAATCACAGACAGCGTGTCTTAAAGTTGAAAACAGAAGTTTAAGTTAAAACAGAAACACTCTGAAACTTTTCTGATGATTTTCTAAACAATTCTGTAGGGGAATTTTACGTTTCTGAGACGAGTCACTGTCTAAACATCATCGCATGCATTATCATTAAGCAGCAGGTGTGTTGAAGCTGTCATCAGCTAAGGAGCGGATGCTTAAGTGTATCTGGGGCAGCGAGGAATGAGAAAGTTGTGATCAAGCTGGAGATCACACCAGATTTACTGATGCAGGCGTGAATCTGCGGGTCTGCAGCATCCCCTTATTAACATCAGGACTTCCCATGTAAGGAAGGTCTGCTCACCTGTTCATCAGATCATTATTTCCTCGCCATGATCTTTTATCGTCCCATCATCCTCCAGTCATCCAACTGGAACCAGTTAGTGTTCCTGATCATTCTCAGAATATGCCATGCCTGCTCTGGTGTTAAAAGTTGGTACATTTAAGTGCTAGATCATATTTGTGCCTGTTCTACTGTCATTTTGAAGGATTATTATTTATGTGTTTTTACTACATTATGAGTAGAAATGCTAATAAAAACTCCCAATTATACAAACAAGTGAAACTGGAAAAATTAGAATCTGGTGCAAAGTCAAATTTATTTCAGTAATTCAACTAGACAGAGAGACTATTTAAAGGCTCAGGAACCCTTTGCAGGCGTTTTCTATTTGTAATTATAAATTTTAGTTGATTTAGGTCTTGTTTCATGTCACACAGTGACATTTGATTAATTAAAATGCATTTTTTTTATTAAAAGCTTTAGTTTTACAGTAATAACTATGTCTAATGTTTAATTCTCTGTCTCATAATTTTAATTAAGTTTTGCTTTGAGAGCACATTTTCCTGAACGATTACAATGCGATTAATTTAGATTAATTAATTACAAAGCCTCTAATTAATTAGATAAAAAATTGTAATCAAGTCCCAGCCCTCATTTTTATATATACTGTTATTTTGTCTTGTAATTGTTAATTACATACTCCTTTATTCCATTTCATATCAGTGTTATTCATATATTAAAACTGTCAACTGCACACTCATTTGGCAGAATAAAAGTTTGACAATTATTCATTTGTTCTTTGTCATATTTCAGTAACATTTATAATTAAGCAAGTTGTAATTAATTAAATGACTGCAACATTTCCCCATGTTAAGTGCAGTAGACTGAAATGAATAGCTTTATTTGGAAATATAACATATCTAATTTTTAATGGACTTATATAAAATCTTTCTTCAACATAGACCCCACTAATGAACTGATTAAGTGTTATTTTTTATAAAAAGAAGAGAGAAAATGCACAAAGGTAGGAAAGGAAAAGAAAGTGATAAAATAATAGGTTTTGTTAAATGTTCTTCAGATAATGAATTAATTGACAAAGTTTTTGCAGGATGTGAAAAAAATGTTCAAGGTCAAGCTCCTGGGGCTAAGCCCCCCCTATATCTCAATCCTAGTGACGTCCATGATTAAACGGGTAAACTAGTAGTAGCATATTCAATGTCAAAGAAAGTAAAATGTTATTATCAGGAGAGGGAGAATGTTTAAGTGGTTAGCAGCAGTGTGCTAGACCAGTGGTTCCTAACCTGGGGGTCCTGACCCCCACAAGGGGGCGCCAAAGCCTCTCAGTGGGTCGCCAGGACCTCTCCACTTTAAGGGGTTAAAACTTCATTTATTACTTGTTTATAGCCTACATTTTGCTCACATTTTTTTTTCATGAGTGAAAAGTTTACTGATATTAAGACAGGAAATAATTAGTACAGAAAGAGTAACACACTTTTAAGAACATTTTGCTCAGCTCACTGTTTTATTTTCAAGTGTCAAAAGTTCATTACAGATAGGACTGGTTGATTAATCACAGCGTTTACAGTAAATAATCTAGTATAAACAGTAATATACACATTTAAGTACATTTTGCTCAGTGTATTTTTTATGTGTCAATCGTTTATTGAGAGGAATGATTGATTTATCAGTGTTTACAAGAAACAATGTGTTCAGAAAAGTAATACAAACTGTCAAGCACACTATGCTCTGTTTGGTTTTGTTAATGACTTTGTTCTGTACTGGAGCCTACTATTACTGTTATCTATTAAAGCATATTAAAATGTGCTTGAACAATTTTATCATTTCTTAATAATGTTTGTACTGGAAGAGAGAATGGAAGGGGGTCGTCAAAAATTTTACCGGTAAAAAACGGGGTCCCTTGGGAAAAAGGTTGGGAACCATGCTCTAGAGAGCTGTGATTGGCTAGCCAGAGTCCTGGTAGGCGCTGTGGAGGTTCCAATGGAGCATGCCTAGACCAAACTTTGCAAAGCAAGAATTTGGTCTAGTTCACTAGGCTAAAGACCACAAACAAGACGAAGAGAAAGCAGAAAAAGAAGAAGAGAGGCGGAAGCATTCGTATCAAACTCGAACTGGTAGTCAAAACATGAAGCATGAAATGGAGTTATCTAGAGCTGAAACAACTAATCGATTTAATCGATTATAATCGATTATTAAAATAGTTAACAACTTTTTTAGTCATCGGTTAGTTGTTTAATAATCATATTTTACCGCATAAAGTCTATTTTTTACCACAATCTGACATCGGTTACAATCTGTTAAATTTGCCGCCAGTGTGTGGCAGTAATGAGCCACTGATCTACCAGTGGGGACGTAGAAGAAGAAATTAGCCAATAAGTGCCCTCGGTTTTCATGACGTATCACGTTACTGACGCGCATCTTGCTGTGAGAGATGGCGGATCAACAACAAATACAGAAGAAAAATAGAAGCGACAAAACAAGAGAAACCCCGGACAAAAACCTCACGAGTATGGGAGCACTTCACTAGATGCCTTGAAAAGACCGGTGACCTACAAAATATGCAAAAACCATGGCACGACGGAAGCACGACGTCCCTAAGTGAACATTTGAGACGAAAACGTGGGGGCTGATGCAGCAGAGGAATGTCCGGTAAGTAACAGAAAATAAACAAGCTAACGCAGATCACATTTGGGACTTAGTGTTAGCTGAGTTCGTTATAGTGGATGTTAAACATGTTTTTTTTTTTTTTTTTGCCGCGTCAGTTTACGGTGTTCTACTTCTGATTGACTAGATGCAATCGTGAATCTCCTCCGTGTTGTGAATCATGCGCTTGCCAAATTTAGCACGTCTGTTTATAAGAATGTTCTCGTTAAGAGAAAAACGGCACAAACCCATAACTGTGTTCCTCATTCAAAAAAGGACAACTCCGCGGAGAAAAATATACAGACGAGCTGTGTCCAGGTGAATATAACGCGGCATAGTTGTACGCTTTCAATTTTTAAATACAGGAGAAATTCAGAAAGTCCTTTTTTTTAACTATTAAAAGGCTGTTTTACTATCTAACGCTGTAAAACGCCTCACAACACATTTTTGTCAAAATAAATGATCACTGTATATTGTTAATTAATTCAAATAATGTAATATTGATTTAGTGTTGTAGTGTGTGTGCTGCTTTATTTTTATATGTGTACTTAATTCAGTCTATTTGTGTTTCTTATGCAGAAAAAAACAAGCAACGATGGACAACTACATGGGGAACAAGACACTCACCCCCAGCAATTCATACCACTTACAAACTCTATTCCAGATTCTACATTATTTTTTATGGAATTTACCTCTTATATTTTGATGCCAAAAAGTTATTCTGGACTGATATTTTGCACTGTTTAGCTCATTTTACACTGCTGACTGTGGTCATGTGCAATAAAATAGATTGCAGTCAACTGCACAATTCTCTTATGTTTTTCTTTTTCTTAACTGAAATGTATTCATCACTTGTATAGGGTAAATAGCTAAACAATAACAAACCGATTAATCGACAGATTAATCGATTATGAAAATAATCGTTAGTTTCAGCCCTAGAGTTATCCCCACATTTACCTGCACCGCTGCTAGGGCTCACTGTTGGCCCAGAGGACAACGTAAATGTGACTCAGCTGCTTAACTGAGCTATCTCCCCACGAGCACACAGGTGCCCGTTTAAAGGCCGTGGAGCCAAACATCTGACCAGCATCGGTGGCTCCAGAAAACATTTAGACTTGAGGGGTCATGTGGGTGACAGCCACAGTGCTACAGATAAACAGAATAATAACAGGGAGACAACCTCTGATCACCAGGAAACAATAAAAAATAACAATACACCTTATGAAATCTACAGAATACATAAGGACCAGTGACGGCTTCCTGACTCGTCCCCGGACCACAATTTCAACCCGAGAGGATGAAATAATTTAATGTTTAAAGCTGAGGTCAGTCTGACTCAGTCGTTCAGTGTTTTCATTAACATCAGTCCCTCTCCAGTAGGTGGGCTGCCACTTAAAGCCTATGCTCCGCCCCCGTGTTGAGTCAGCAACTAGCTTGAAGATCTCCCAGGGCAGTCACATCTGCAGTCATGCCGACTGAGGACTGGCCTTGTGGGACACCAGTGGGAGGGATGTAAACATGTGACCACGATGAGCCAGGCTCTGTTCTGTTGGCTAAAATGGACCCAACTGCAGTTCATGAGAACCAGAAACAGTAGGTTCTGATAAGAAACAAGCAGCCAGGGCCTTGTCCTCTCGAGAGGACAAAATGCAAAGCTCAGATCATAAATGTAACTGCAGCTGAGCTGATAGGCAAACACAGGTAATGACCCGAGCACGGTCCCGCCTCAAATCGTCTGCATCCTGATGTGGCAGTGTGAGCGTCGGGTCACCGTGACTCGACTGGTCCTGGCTACTGGTTAGCGCCCGTGACTCTCACCCGGAGTCTGGGGATCGAATCCCGCCCAGGCCCTCGTTTCTCCACCCTGCCACACTAACCAAGGTTGATTCAGTCCTGGAGACATTTGGACACAGTGATCCATTTCATGCAGACAGCTTCTGACCACAGGTCCTTCCCGAACAGCAGTTTCTGCAGGTCACCTTTGAAACGCTTGTTTTCTGCTCCGAGTCGTTTACACGACCTGTGGACTCTGAGCCTTTCGACTGGAGACCTCAGCTGCAGCAGTCAGCTTTGGCTCCTCCCCGTGGCCGTCGTCCTCTCAACACATTCCTAGTCCTAGTAAGGTTTTCATAGTAAAAGTGCATTTTAAAAACATTTGCTGTCATGCTGTAAAGCTGCATTGATGACGGTGTTGGAGTTGATTATCTGCAGCTGACCTCACATGAACAGACGAGCCTGAAGACTTTCACCAACTTTATTAAAGCCGACAGATGAAACAGGTCATGCCACGTGTTCCTGTCAGAGATCAGGGACAGAATCAAACAGCAACTCTGAACGTGGTCGGGCTCAACAGCGAGCTGCTAAAGAGGATCTGCTCTTTAAACTTTTACGTGTTTAGTTTTTGTGGGAAGCAGAAACTTTTATTTTCTTTCATACAAGTTGGTTCAAACTGTGTGATGTGGTTTCATTTCAGACAGAAGCAGTCGAATGCTGATGTGTCTGCCACCTCTGATTAGCAGTAGCTAATAACAACAGCGCCATCAGCAGGACTGGTGTAGAGCTGCAGGTAGCGAGCACGCTAGACGTTGTCAGCGCCGTTTCTCAGGGACGATTCTGAGTGGTCCCCGGGTTTGTGCCTGCTGAGCTCTGCTTGGACAGTCATCCAGATGTTGTGAACCTGTCTGCTGAGCTGTACTGGAGTCGGGACTGGCCTCTGTGCTCTCACCTGGTTCTGGGTGTCGTGCTGCAGCAGGGACAGGATCAGTGACTTTCAGTCATCCTCCTGTTCTGAGCTTCTCCTGTAGTTTTTTGTTTTAGTCTTCCTGAAGGAGGTGAAGCTAAGGCTGGACTCCTCCATCGTCTGCTCTTCTGCTGGCTCCACACCTCCACTCACCTCCTTTTCTTCATCCTCCAGTACGGTTGGTCCTCTGGTCTCCTCTCTTCGTTTGCCTTCATCCTCCTCCTCCTCCTCCTCGGCTAAATGGCTCAGCTGTAGCTCCTTCTCCTTTCCCTGCTGCACTGTGATGAGATCTTTTGGTGGTCGGTTTGGTCTAGAGAAGAGCATCTTCTTCTGGATGTTGCAGGGGGGATCACGATTTGTCTCTTGTCTCAGGCTGGACAGGAACTGGTGGGCTGTCCTCCTATTGTCCTGATCGCTGCTCTCAGTCACGTCCTCTAGACTGTAGTGGGTCCAACGCTCCGGGTGCGCCAAGTAATCAGGCACACCTCTCTTCTTTGGTGGTGTTGGACAAGTGGGCATAGGACAACTCGTCTTCCTGCGGTTTGTGGAAGTCTCCTGATTGAGACTGGGCGCAGTCTTCCTGTCAACAGTGTCCAGACAGTCAAAGATGCTGCGGCTGCGGTAGGAGAAGGCGGAGTTCCCTCCAGTCAGGGTGAACGTAGCGATAGGAGCTGGACCACTGGCCTCCACCTCCTCCTCATCATCACTGTGGTCCAGCTCTGGGTCAAAAGGAGCCCTGCTGGGTGCTTCTTCAGCTTCAGACTCGTGGCTGGGTGACAGCTCAAGCACATCGTCGCTCTGAAACACCCCACCGTCGTCTCTGACCTGTTCCCGCTCGGACATCTTTACACCAACACAGAAGCTCAGTGAAATAAACCAAGTGGTGATGACGAGAGGAGGCTCATTCTGAAAGGACAAAAGATCCACAAAAAGAATTACACACCTTAGCACATGCGTTCTCCCCACAACCTCCATGACAGGCTGGAGTTTAAACGTCCATGTTCCCAGACTGAAGTTGGCGCATGTTCTGGTCTCTGAGCGTCTTTAATCTGCTACAACACCTAGGCAGGATTACTCTAACGCTTTTACTTTATGAAGTAACGGTGATTGTTGGGAGGAATCCCTCTTTCTTAAACGGGACCTGCTCCGTGCACCTCTACTCTGGTAAATACGGTAACACACCTCTTAATGGAGGAACAAGCATTACTTTAGGAAACTGCCTGACAGGTAAAACCAGACATATAAACGTATTATAAACATAAGTAAAACCACATTTTTGCTGTTGTTTACTCGGATTTTCGACATTATTTATTTTCCCTAACACGTTTCTTACAGCTTATTTCAACCACAGAATTGTTTTTGTTTTAAACCTCAGGTGTTAGCAAGCTAATGCGTCGCTGTTTAGCGACTTAGTTCGATTATGATCAGCATCCAAAGAGCCCGTTCACGTCACGTTGTGTTTAAGACGTCTGTTTAGCTGTTCGGTTAAAGTGAAACGGATAGCAACGTTTGCTTTTAGTGCATTTACCTGCTAGCTGCTTCCTCGGGGACATTATTTTGGCTTCTTCTATGGTTCTTGTTTGTGGGTGTGCTCACAAAGGAGCTGCTGCCCCCCGGCGGTTCCTCGTGTGAACGACTTCTGAAAGACTTGTTTTAGGCAGAGCTGAATGAGTGAGTTAGATTAAGCTGCGAGTTGATTGAACAGAGATGATGAAATTAAACAGTAACTTTCTAAACCCGTGGGACGGTGCATGAGGATAAATAATCTGTTTAAGCTACTAGACCTTGACAACACGATAGGGGGCGGCAATTCAGCAAGATGGAATCCAGACTGCCGTCCAACCGCCAAGGAAGAAGAAGAAAACTAACTCCTGATTGGCTGTCGACTTTCTGACCGGGATATTTTAAAAGTGAGTGTGTGACGCTATTGATCGCGTTAGTGGAACAGAGCTGAGCTGGGTGTGTGCGTTTTGCTCCGTTAAAATAAACATCGGTTAGTCTCCATGGAGCTAGAACAAGGGGAACCAACGTGTAGAGTTAGTGACATGTCGGACATGGTGGTGGTGGACCTAGACTCCACCGTTACAGCCGAGCTGGAGGCTGGAAGCGGCTCCTCCGAAGCGGACACAACTCAAGGTCTGGACTAGATGTTTAGTTAGGCTAATGCTAACCAGCTGTTGGCTGTGTGTTATGCTGTTGTTTATTAAAAAAAGAAGGTGTTCTGTTGCTGCTATATTACTTTTCTTGACCACGCACACGGATTAATAAACACTCACATCCAATGCACTATAAACGTTTATGTTTAATCTTTGTATACTTCAGGCGCGCAATTTTCTCATATCAACGTATGTACATATAAAACTCTGTGTATATACATATATTTATCAAATTTTAAAATTTACATACACATACCTTTTATTTTCTACACACTCACACATATTAATACTTATATTTGTAGATGGCTGCCTGTTTAGTGAACTAGTGTACTTCTCCGTTGTTATAGTTTTCATTCTTTTGTTGCTTTTATTTTATACTGTCCACTTTCTGCCATGACTGTGCAAATGCCCCACTTTTGGGGATAATAACCTTAACTTGTTCTGTTCAAGAGTTTATTAAAAACACCCAAAAGAGGAATGATTACAGTTCAAAACTGCTGAACAAGATCATTACATAAAAGTAAGTTTATGATGTTAAAAACAACTATAATGTTTAAATGGTGCAGAACTGAGTGTAATAACATTTGTAGTTGTGATGGGTAAACAGCGTTATAACATAATTCATTATGATCTGAAGTATTTTCTACAGCTTGTTGTGTTGAAACATGAGAAATGGATTAAAAACAAAATGGATCCAATATTTACACCTTGAAGAAGCTATTACAGTCGCCACAAACTCTTCTAACAAATGCACTAAACTCTTTTAATATATATGCCAAGAACATGCTTATTCTCCAGTGGCGGCAAAAGTTATTTTAGGTTTTGTGTGAAAAAACGTAGAGGACTACAAATGTATGTCTCACTAAGCTGACGTCATCAAACCAGACACACAGAAGAGATTAATTTAGAACCAACATACAGATGCCAGAGCAAGACGGAGCATTAAACCAGGAGATAACCACTAAAATCTCCATGTGGTGAGTAGCAGCTCCACCAGTGGAGACGTCGTAAAGTATATGACTCCAAATGATCAAACTGAAGTACAACATACGTGCTAGTGAGGCAAAGCGGACCAGCATCTTCTATCGCCTCGTTCAGGGACCCATGAGCTGATCCAAGGGGAGGAGCCTTAGGCTCCCTTTATGAATGATCTTAGCTAGATGAGGGCTAATTATTTATGAGTTTCAGTTCTAGGAGTCAAATTCTGGAGCAGTCTTAGTAACCTAGTGTCTGGAAGCACCGATATGACATTTGTGTGCCGATACCAACATCACTGTTGTGGCCGATAACCGATCAGCTGACATTAATGCTGCTAAAAGCAGCAGATTTTGTATAGAATGAAAATGATTAAAGCTGAACTTTGTGTGTGTGTGTGTGTGTGTGTGTGTGTGTGTGTGTGTGTGTCACCCAGAATAACATGATGTATCCCTGCAGTCCTGTTTCAGAATGAAGACAAAGAGGCTGCTGATGAGGAGGAGGAGGAGGAGGATGATGACAGTGGCACAGACCACTTAAGCGGTGAGAAGTCGGGAACCCAGCTGCAGAGGTGTGAGCACCATGAAGGAGGGCGCTCAAGCCTTCCGGACACCTTCCAGACCAGCAGCTTGCTGTTCTACGAGCGGTTCAAGGCCTACCAGGACTACATGCTTGGTACCTGAAGCTCCAGCATGATCACTGTGTTTGGGTCTATTTTGACTGGTTGTTCTGTGTTTGTGTGTGTGTGTAGGGGATTGTAAGCCCTCAGAAGTGAAGGCTTTCACAGCAGACTACCTGGAGAAGGTGCTGGAGCCGTGTGACTGGATGGCCTTATGGTGCACAGATGCGTTTGACGTCCTGGTGGAGGTGAGAGCAGTTGCATGTGAATCTAAACTCCATTACTGCAGGTTTTCTGCAGCTCTTCTGTATGATTCTGTTCCAGGTGACCGATTTGGACCTGAAGAATCTGAAAGCCTGGGTGGAGCTCTCGCTGCCTCTGAAGTGTGTCACCAGAGGCTGTGAGATCACTGAGGAGGCCATGCTCTCTCTGCTAGAAGCCACTCAGTACAAAGTTCACCTGCAGGAGCTGCAGGTGGTATATGATGAGTCTGGGGACTTTGTTCAGACCGCTCTGGCTCTTGAACACCTCCGGTAGGTCTCTGCTGAATGGGACTGCACCGGTTTCACGTGCTTGGCGACAGTGTTTTCTCTTTTGCAGTTTTTTCTATAAACACATCTGGAGGGAGTGGGATGAGGAGGATGAAGATGACGACTTTGACTATTTTGTCCGCTGTGTGGAGCCTCGTCTGAGACTGTGAGAAGATCCAGAGCTTCTGGGATAAGTTCTACCTGTGAATATTTGTCCCTATTCCTGAATCACATTTTAAAATCTTTCTTAGTTTCTACGACATCCTGGAGGACAGAGTCCCTGTCGGCCTGGTGGCGGAGTACCGCTCCTTACTGGAAAACTGTTCCAAGTGCTTCCAGCAGTTTTCACAGCTACGCAGCAGCCTCAGCGTTGACTCCGACTCGGAGCTGGACAACGTGTCCATGGTGGAGGGCCTGAAGCTCTACGACCAGCTGGAGACATTCAAAAGAAAGCTCCGCATCATTGAGAACCCCCTGTTGAGGTACTCTGTCCTTTGTCCTCCCTCTCACGTCCCTCCCTACTGTCTTCTAACCATCCCTCCACACATGAACCCGACTCTCCCACAGGTATGTCCTGGCTTACAAAGGAAACTCCTGGCAGCAAAACCTACAGAGCCGTGGGCTCAGATCATCGGGTCTGAAGGTGGTTCATGTGGTGACAGAATCCTGCTGCACCGTCCTGCTCCAGTCCCTCCTCAGTGCACGGCTGATGCCTCTGTGCTCGACTGAGGACACCGAGATCCAGGTCAGTATCTCCACGTCTACGAGTCATCCACCTGGACTCGCTCCTGGTCTGAAACTCACGGTGCTAGTTTTCTCCAGTTTGTTAAATCCTCGTGGTTTCCGTCGGTGAACATTGCTTCTTCCTAGAGCTGCTCCGATCTGATCATGTGATCACAAATTGGACCCGATCAAGTGATTTTAAATGAATGGAATCGAGCGGAAAAGATCAGACATAAAACAAACGTGACTTTAAATTCATCCTGAGATTGTATAACAGAATGGCTCGGTGTTTGCCCTACATAGGCTCAGGCGTGGCACAGCGCCACGGCTATGTAATCACCCCACCAAACAACCCCGCTTTCACGACCGACGCACGGCACTGAAACTCTTCGTGCGCTATTACCCCCTTCCACACTCTCATGGCAGTGAAACGGTCCACGAATGTAACACACACATCTCCCGCACAGCAGCGAAACGGTTCTGAGCACCGTGAGTGGCACCTGTGGGGGGCGTTTAACACAGACACTTTTTATAATGAGATTAAACACCCACACTTGTCCCGCAGTTTAGCTCTAAAACGTTCTGTCCCTCCATGTTTCTTTCGCTGTGTTTGCTCCTCCCTGGCCGGAGGACAGAGGACAGGAGTCTCAAAAAATGTGGGTGTCATAATACTGTAAAAAATATATATCATTAATGTAAAACGGAACTCCAAATAACAAATTGTTCACACCTGGAATCGAACCGAGGTCGACTGGATGAAAGTCGGACATCTTACTAGGTGAGCTAATGTGACATTTCATTTATCTGTAATATTTATATCCATGATGACAGCTGAAACGACATCAATCCAAAGAACAGTTCAGAGTGAAAATGGCTATTTTGTTGCTAATTTGCAGAAAATATCTAGAAGAAAGTAGCTAAGGGTCCTCAGAAATGTAGCTAGGTTCATCACTAGGCGTTAGGAACAGCGACAAAGTCGCTGAGTTGGCGCTGCCTCTCTCTCTGCTGCTAAAGCTACGGATAGCAAATGCTACGGGCGATGCCTGAGCGTGAACGCGCATGAAGCAGCCTGTTCGACCCGAGCATCTCTCTTTTTCTGTGATTTTACAGAAAAACAGGCAATCACAGTAAAAATGCCAGGGCTCATTCTACAGGACCAGGGCATTGCAGGAGAATGTATGAAGAAGACATTTATTATTTCTGTACATGTTTTGGCTGTCAAACTTCCATAATGCCCCTTTAAGTGAAGGTTTGATTACAGCAACCTTAAAATCTTGTGGTACATATCCATTTACTAAGGATAGATTGATTATATCTAGAATGGGAGCAGTAACCAAAGGAAATGCATCTTTAAATAATTTGGTTGGGATTGGATCCAAAATGCAAGTTGAAGGTTTAGATGAAGCTAATATTTTTGATAACTCTGAAAGCTCAACTGGATCAAAACGGTTCAAACACAGATGAGGTTCTACAGTCACCTCTGATGCTGCCTCACTTACTGAGGAAGAAGAAATCGCATTAGGGAGGATGCTAAAGATTTTGTTTCTAATAGAATTAATTTTACTTGAAAACAAAATCCCATGAAGTCATTGCTGCTGAGGGCTAAGGGAATAGATGGCTCAGAGATATGATTCTGTGTAAGTTTAGCAGCTGTACTGAAAAGAAATTCAGGATTATTCTTATTCTCCTCAATTAGCAATGGATATAATAAGCAGTTCTAGTTTGTCGAAGCTTATTTTTATAAAGCACAAGACTATTTTTCCAGGATAGGTAGGCCTCCTCATGGTACATAGAGCGCCATGTTCTCTCCAATTTCCTAGCGTTTTGTTTTAAGGCTCGTAAATGAGAATTAAACCAGGGAGCCAACTTCCTGTCCCTAATTACCTTCTTTTTTAAAGGGGCAACATCATCTAATGCCACACGTAAAGAGGAATTAACATGATGAACTAAGGCATCAATTTGTGAGGGGCTAGAAATGAAAATATTGCCCTCTGCTACGTTCCTCTGAGATGCTGAGGACAGTAAAGATGGAACAGTTGATTTAAAAGATGCAACTGCGTTGTCAGATAGAGACCGACTATAGTGAAATTTACTTTCATGTCTCGAAAACTCAGTTATAAAAAGCTCAAAGGTTATCGGAAAGTGGTCCGAGAGGACTGGATTATGTGGAAAGATCGTTATTTCCTCACACTCTATGCCATAAGTCAGCACAAGATCCAATGTATGATGGCAGGAGTGGGTGGAGCTATGTATTCTTTGGGTAAAACCAATTGAGTCTAAGATATTACTAAAGGCTACATTGAGGCTATCATTTTCAATATCCACATATATGTTAAAATCCCCCACTATAATGACCTTATCAGTATTTAGCACCAAATCAGATAAAAATCTGAGATCTGATCCAAAAACTCGGAGTAAGGGCCTGGTGGACGATATAAAGCTACAAACAGCCCAGTCAAATATTCTTTAGCTTAGCATAAACTATGTAGGTGAATGGTAACAATTAGCATTTTGCATGCAAAAGTCATTAAAATTAGTCGGTGATGTTTAGGTGGCGCCCTCACCACATTATCAATTTAAAATTCAACGCCCCCTGATAATCAGGAACCAAAACCAGCTGAACCTAAAGGCACGTTAGTTCAGTTTTACAGATCAAGCTTGAGACGGAGTTCCATTCCACACATGCAGAGATTTATTAAAGGAAAACAAAATGAGTTTAAATCATCTACCAAAAATACCATGCACCTAACGGATGAAAACTAATTAAAACCAAATCAACCTAGGCTGAGGCTGACTAATGGGACTGCCTAAAATAGAGCCCAGAGCTTCACTCTCTAGACACACTACAAACCACAAGTAATTTCACCCCAATCACACGTGCATACATTCGGGGGTGAAGTGACTGTGGAGCACACGTACACCATCCGATGGGACCACCACCAGGGCTCGACCACCACTGTCAGCTCACAGCCTAAATAAACGGAAAACAAAGAGCATGATGAGAATCCACACACACACACACACACACACACACACACACACACACACACACACACACACAACAATAAAACACAGCAACAGCTGGGTGGACAGGCCATCAGGAAATATGCCAGCATACAGCTCGCCTGCACACACACACACACACTACCAGTCTCTTAGCCTGAGCTTCAGCCGTCCTTATAAGCTCCCGTGCTGACGCCGGCTGCCGGTAGGGCCCGAAGCCCCTTGTCGAAATACCCGCACCCACACCGGGTGTAGGTCCTCCGCTGGTACTCGGTCCAAAGGAGTTAGAGAGAAAAGCCGCTCCCGATGGTCTCAGCCGATCCCCTGTTTAACCAGCCCGAGCAGCGGGGTAGAGAGGCCTTGGAACTGGATGATGGTCCAGCACCGGATGAACAACAGGAAAACGGGGATCTGATGGAACGGTGCAGAAAAGCAGCAGAATAACAGTCTCCCGTGAAGACACACCCCTTCCTCAATCTGGAAGACACATTCATTAGCATTACCCTACAGCCACAGCTAAGTGGAAAGAGGAGCGCAGATGTACATACCACTTCTATGAAGCACATAGGATAAAGAGAAGCCTTCCGTTCCTCTGGGAGGAACACATGCAACAATTCCTGCGGCAGGAACAACCAATAAATACTAGACTCCATGCAGCTACTGCAGCGTTTTAGATATTACTCACAGTCCAACACGCCGGAGTCCCGTACACAATTACACTTCACCAAGGAAGCGGAAGTTGAGCCAAAGCAAAGATCGCGGTTGCACCACCCCAGGCTCTGTTTATATTGGCACCTTCCCTCAATCATAGATCGTCCAATTACTTGGTGGCAGATGACTAATCCCATTACATTAATTATTCTTGGGACAGCGGCCTGGTGCCATGCCATTTCCTCCATCAACACCTGTGGAGTAAATAAGTCCGTATCTGGATCATCATTAGGAGTACGTCGGAGCAGAGAACTACAATGAAAAAATTTGGATCCTTGTTGAATTATTTTCACGTGGAATGCTAGCTGTTACCATTCACTCACATTGTTTATGCTAAGCTAAAGCAAACAGAATACTGCCTGATAAGAATGACTGGGCTGGTTTTAAAATGCTTTTTCCCACTTATCTAACTGGGGACTGTGGCAACAGACTCAACTTCCCGTGGGAGTGGGACAACCCTGTAAAAGAACAAATGGGCCTCGTGTGTGAGTTTTTTGACTAAATGTTCTGAGCCCTTGAAGGCAGGTGTTGGTATGTGGTCGGAGACTGCGAGTTGTGTCTTCTCCTTCAGTTCCACAGAGAACCGGTCTCGGCTGTAGATGCGTGCCACCAGGACGACGTGGTGATCCTTCTCCCTGGACGCTACAGTGTCAGCAGCTCTATCTTCATTCCAGATTCCATCACTATGGAAGGTAAACACTGGCGGGCAGTGGTTTGGGAGGCTGTGAGTGTGACGGCTAATGGAACACGGATCGTGCTGTAACACAGCTGGCCTCTACGTGTAAGGCACAGTCCTGTGAGGAAGCTTGTCTTTATTAATATGGTTGGTCACGCTGAACAGCACATGCATGCTGAATGTGAAAAGTCATCAAATAGCTGCAGAATTGAAAACAATGGAGTGAGTAAAAGCCAGTCTCTTCTACGTCATGTAGGGTGACCAAATGTGGGTCAGAGACTCCTACGTTGTGAAATGTAACAAGATAAAATAATAGGAAATCTTCTAGTCTAACATCACTGTTAGATTTAAATACAACCATTATTATCATCATAGATTTCATGTGCTAAATGTTCTATTTGAATTCAACGTGAACACGCAAACAGCAAAAGCTTACCACAGCTTATCTCAGGCTCTTTGGACCTATCAAACTCATTTTAATAATATAGATCAGCCCACAATGAAAAACGCAGGTTTAAGCAGTTTTTCAGTTCTCATTCGGTTTTCCACAACTGAATGACAGAAAAAGAAACCTTTTCAAAAAGGTCCTTCAGACTTCCTTAGTTACTTTTGTCCTTGAAATTCAGAGAACAAGTAATGAAGGCTTTCATGTAATGTGCTGTAAAGGCAGTTAGCTTGTGTGTATCAGAACCCCCCCAGCGCCTTGTCTGTGTCGCAGCCTTCTTTGGGTTTCAGCATGAACCTGTCTCATTACTGGGAAACCTGCTTTTGAACAATGTGCTTTTTGACTCTGGGACTTTCTGCTCCGTTTCATATCAAACTCACTGAACACTTGGCCTACTCCTCAAACAAACTCCTCCCTCCCAGACACAGGAGCACCAGAGCAGACATGCTAGGCATTCGTTCACACTCAGGCCCACAGGGAGGTCTTTTACATAATTAATAGAGATGGGGGAGTAGTTCAGATCGAAACACACAGTAAACAGATTTTTACACTGATCACCTGCAGATGTCACTGCAGGCTCCACATCCATCCATCCATTTTCATCCGCTTATCCGGAGTCGGGTCGCGGGGGCAGTAGCCTAAGGCAGTGGTTCCCAAACTTATTTAGCCGCGCACCCCCTTCTATGTCCCGACCATGTCGACGCACCCCCCCCACCCCCCCAGCCCCCACATCAGGGCATGGCTCTATATGTATATATATATATATATATATATATATATATAATGTCTCAGATGTCAAGCTAAACAGACAGGGTTAAAAAAAAATTCCCCATCACTTTCATTTTTTAAATAGTAATTAATAAACATTCGATACCATTACAATTTCCTTTGATCTAATTTTAAATAAATATTTAGAGTGCCCAGGTAGCACATAAATAATGCAATTTAACGGTTTTCTTAAAGTAGGAATGTTTAACCTGTGCGGCCAGAGCGCTCTCCTTCCTTCTGTTCTGCGTAAACCTGGGCTGATCACCTGCTTGTGCGTAGTCAAATGTCAATAGGGGACAAGATATAGCCATGATGTTCACTTTTACCTCAGACCGACTTATTGCTGTTTTATGGTGTGGCTGAATCTGCGATCCGCTGCCACGCTGACTGGAACAACAAATGCTGCAGTAACAGGAGATGTGGTCAGGTTCATGAGGAGTCACTGGCTGGAGCGGACCCGACTCATCCCAGAAGCTAATATCTTAATTTGACCTTGAATGAAAAATAACCTCTTAAAAGTTTTTATCACGGTGGAGGCAGCGTTCATTTCTGCCTTCAGTCTGACGGCGCGCCGGAGTTAAAGCAGCGTGCGCGCTTATTGAATCTGTGTGTGTGTGTGTGTGTGTGTGTGTGTGTGTGCGCGCGCGCGGCACAGCTCCATGAGCCGCTCAAGTCACCGCATCTCGTTATTGGCGCTATTTAAACCAATGTTGTAAAATTACTTCTGCCCAGCCCAGATGTGCTCACTTGTGCACCCGTGAGCCGTGGTTCTGCTGGAATGCGTCTGACTTCTGACAGAAGCACTCTGAACTTCAGATCTTCAGCGCGCTGTCAATAGCCTGAATGGGAATCATTTCTTGTTATTTAGTTACATCCACAATGTTCTGTGTGTGAGGTTTACAATGTCAGAACACCTGCATGAGACAGGTGTTAATTACAATCTGCCAGAATGACTCACCTTCAGATTCCTCCAACACCGTTAAAAATGATCAAATACGGAACATATCGGCGTGCGCAGGCCAGAGTGCTGAAGCTCGGGGCATTGTTATTATGAAGCTAGGGCACATGTGGAGGACACGCGCGCAAAAATATACTTGTTTTCAATTACATTTATTGGGCCCGCTTACTTTTTCTTTGGCCCACCCACAAATGAGTTTCTACAATAATAGTGACATATGACAGACTTCTCTGAGCTCCGCAGCCATTACACTTTTCACCTCGCGCACCCCCTAGCGGCAGCTCGCGCACCACACTTTGGGAATCCCTGGCCTAAGGCAAGAGGCCCAGACTTCCCTCTCCCCAGCCACTTGGGCCAGCTCCTCCGGGGGAACCCCAAGGCGTTCCCTGGCCAGGTGAGAGACATAGTCCCTCCACCGTGTCCTGGGTCTACCTTTAGGTCTCCTCCAAGTTGGACGTGCCCGGAAAACCTCACCAGGGAGGCGTCCAGGAGGCATCCTGACCAAGCCACCTCAACTGGCTCCTCTCGATGTGGAGGAGCAGCGGGTCTACTCCGAGCCCCTCCTGAATGACCGAGCTTCTCACCCTATCTCTAAGGGAGAGCCCAGCCACTCTTCGGAGAAAACTCATTTCGGCCACTTGTATCCGTGATCTCGTTCTTTCGGTCACTACCCAAAGCTCATGACCATAGGTGAGGGTGGGAACGTAGATCGACCGGTAAATCAAGAGCTTCGCCTTCTGACTCGGCTCTCTCTTCACCACGACAGACCGGTACAACGCCCGCATCACTGCAGATGCAGCACCAATCCGCCTATCGATCTCACGCTCCAGTTTTGCCTCACTCGTGAACAAGACCCTGAGATACTTAAACTCCTCCACTTGGGGCAGGACCTCATCCCTGACCCGGAGAAGGCATTCTACCCTTTTCTTACTCAAGACCATGGTCTCAGATTTAGAGGAGCTGATTCTCATCCCAGCTGCTTCACACTCAGCTGGGAACTGCTCCAGCGAAAGCTGAAGATCACGTTCCGATGAAGCCAACAGGACCACGTCATCTGCAAAAAGCATGTAGACTGGTTGGGCAAATTCCCACGCACCCTCCAGGATCCCCCTAAGGGTATAGAGCTGGTCCAGTGTTCCACGGCCAGGACGAAAACCACATTGCTCCCCCTGAATCTGAGGTTCAACAATCCGACGGACCCTCCTCTCCAAAACCCCTGAACAGACCTTACCAGGAAGGCTCAGGAGTGTGATCCCCCTGTAGTTGGAACACACCCTGCGGTAGGGCTGCTCGATTATGGCAAAAACAATAATCACGATTATTGTGACTGAAATTGAGATCTCGATTATTTAGGACGATTTTTCAATTTATGTTGATTTTATTTGTTTTTATTCAGTCATAAAATTGCTCAGGGCACAATCAGGACAAAAATAAATAAGAAACAAGATGATCACTAAAATAACGCCTGATTCCCAGTATAAAAAGACCAATATACTTACAGCTCATAGTTTAGGACCCTAGGGCTATAGACCTTGGTTTAACTCATTTAAGTCTAACCAGTACAGACCCAAATACCAATATCTTGCAAATACTGACAGCAAGAATTATGCAGTGGCATTTATAACAAACAAATGCAAATAAATTGATGTTCACAAAATGTTGCATAACATTTATTGAAGTCGTGTCAAGGTGCTGTAGGAGAGTGCACTAGCACCGTGTCCTCAGAGAGATTAGTTATTATTTATCAGCGTGAGGAACTTATTTCTACTTTATTTATAAACTATTTATTTACAAGTCCATCAGTTAATATAATAATTGTCCCAACCACATCTGCACCCTCCACCCCCCAACCTGGTCTCACAGCAATCGGGGCAAGCTGCACGTGTGTTTAGCGCGCCGCACACGCACATTTAGCTGTTTTTAGCGGCTCAGGAGTCCACAGGTGCGGTGTGTGTGTCACTCACTCTGGTCCCTCCAACAAGGAGCCGGCTCCGAGAGCTGTTTCTTTAGCGACCGACACATCACTACATCATTCCCTTTCCTAATGTCCTGAAGAACGATCCGGAGCGCAGGCGGAGTGTTTAGCTAACCTGCAGGAAATGTCAACGACAATTATCCAGAAAGTAGCTAAGGGTTACCAGAGATGTTTCTGAGGTGTTTGCTAGGTACTTTTAAGATTTAAAAAGTCAAGAAGGGGGTCTGAAAAGCTGTTAGAAATGGCATCAAAGTCGCCAAGTTGGCAACACTGTGGGAGGAGCGCTTCATTTGCAACTCAGGGCAGCGCAAGTGGGAGGAGCAAATAATCGGTTTGTATAATTGTTCAAAACTCAGATCGTAATTGTGATTAAAATTCGATTAATTGAGCAGCCCTACCCTGCGGTCCCTCTTTTTAAATAAGGGGACCACTACCCCGGTCTGCCAGTCCATTGGGACTGCCCCCGATGTCCACGCGATATTGCAGAGCCGCGTCAGCCAACGCAGCCCCACAACATCCAGAGCCTTAAGGAACTCCAGGCGGATCTCATCCACCCCTGGAGCCTTGCCACAGAGGAGCTTTTTAACCACCTCAGTGACCTCAGCACCAGAGACTTGAGAAGCCAACCCAAAGTCCCCCTGCTTCCTCACTGGAAGACATGTCGGTGGGATGAAGACGTGTCGGTGGGATTAAGGAGGTATTTGAAGTATTCTGCCCACCGATCCACAACGTCCTGAGTAGAGGTCAGCAGCACACCGTCCCCACTATCGATAGTGTTGGTAGTGCACTACTTTCCCCCCCTGAGGTGCCGGATGGTGGGCCAGAATCTCCTCGAAGTCGTACAGCAGTCTTGCTCCATGGTCTCACCGAACTCCTCCCATGCCCGGGTTTTTGCCTTGGTGACCACCCGAGCTGCGTTCTGCTTGGATTGCTGGTACCCGTCAGCTGCCTCTGGAGTCTCACAGGCCAAAAAGACCTGATGGGACTCTTTTCTTCATCTCGACAGCATCCCTAACCGCCGGTGTCCACCAGCGGGTTCGGGAGTTGCCACCACTACAGGCACCGACGATTCTGCGACCACAGCTTCGGTCGGCCGCCTCAACAATGGAGGCACGGAACAGGGTCCATTCAGACTCAATGTCCCCCGCCTCCCCCGAAAAATTTTGGAAGTTCTGTCGAAGGTGGGAATTGAAGCTCCTTCTGACACGAGACTCTGCCAGATGTTCCCAGCAGACCCTCGCGATACGTTTGGGCCTGCCTGGTCTGACCCGCATCCTCCCCCACCATCTGAGCCAACTCACCACCCGAGTGTCCAAGACATGCGGCCGCAGGTCAGACGAAACAACAACAAAGCCGATCATCGAGCTATGGCCTAAGGTATCCTGGTGCCAAGAGCACATATGGACACCTTTATGTTTGAACATGGTGTTCATTATGGTCAATCCATGACTGGCACAGAAGTCCAATAACAAAACACCACTCGAATTCAGGTCAGGGGGCCGTTCCTCCCAACCACACCACTCCAGGTCCCACTGTCATTGCCCACGTGAGCGTTAAAGTCCCCCAGCAGAATGACGGAGTCACCAGAAGAAGCGCTTTCAAGCACCCCGTCTAAGGTCTCCAAAAAGGGTGGGTAGTCTGAACTGTAGTTTGGTGCATAAGCACAGACCAGAGTCAGAACCCGTCCCCCCACGCATAGGCGGAGGGAGTCTACCCTCTCATTCACTGGGGTAAACCCCAATGTACAGGCACCAAGATGGGGGGCAACTAGTATGCCCACCCCTGCTCGGCGCCTCTCAGTGGGAGCAACTCCAGCGTGGTAGAAAGTCCAACCCCTCTCAAGGAAACTGGTTCCAGAGCCATGCGTTGAGGTGAGTCCGACTATATCTAGTCGGAACCTCTCAACCTCACACACCACCTCAGGCTCCTTCCCCACCAGAGAGGTGACATTCCATGTGCCAAGAGCCAGCTTCTGTAGCCGAGGATCAGATAGCCAAGGTCCCCGCCCTCGACTACCACCCGTCACACACTGCACCCAACCTCTTTGGCCACTCCCACGAGTGGTGAGCCCATGGGAAGGGGGACCCACGTTTCCTCTTTGGGCTGTGCCCGGCCGGGCTCCATGGATGAAAGCCTGGCCACCAGGCACTCGCCAACGTGCCCCACCTCCAGGCCTGGCTCCAGAAGGGGGCCCCGGTAACCCTCGTCTCGGCGAGTGAACACGGTTTCCACAATGAGACAAATAAACCAGAAGCAGAGGTAGACACCACTGATTAGCATCATTTTCTAACTTGTGTTCAAACATATCAGTTAACACTGTCCCCCTACCTGATGGGAAAAGTCCTCGGGCCAACCACAGTCCCTCACACACACACACACACACACACACACACAGTATAGTGTGTATCGACTGCTTGTGTCTTGTGTTCTAGGTTTTGGATTTCCTGACGAAATAGTGATTGAGAAGAAAACCAAAGGCAGCACATTTGTGGAGTCGACGGGGGCGGACGTCCGACTCTCCAACATCAAGTTCATTCAGCATGACGCCATTGAGGGCATTCTGTGTGCGTACTTCCTTCTGCTTTCCTTTTCACAAATGCTGTCCAACCGTCAGCAAAACACCACGGCTCTTTTCACACTGGCCATGTTTAGACTAATAAAGTTCACCCCAGTCAGCTGTCCCCCCCATGGTGCCATTCCTCTGCTCAAGTGTGAACACTGGGGAGTACAGAACAAAGAACCTAGAGAGACCCGATGACCTCCAGAGCTTTTTATTCACAGTGTGGACATGATCCGTTCGTTTGAGCCAAACAATGTCAAACATCTGATTTCTCACTTTACTCTGGAGGTGTCTTCAGCCTCATGGACCACAGGAACCTGCTCAGGTTGACCTGTTTTGCTGTCTGCTGTTCATCAGGTGTGCGTAAAGGAACTCTGAACATGGAGAACTGTGTGCTGCAGTGTCAGACCACCGGTGTGATTGTGCAAACATCTGCACGCCTCACCATGAATGTGTGTGATCTGTACGGCTCCAAGGTGAGTGCTGCACGGTGACTGTGCCCTCCGAGTCAGTCTTGCTGCCTCTCTTCTGAAGATAAACTCACCGCTGCACGTTCCACCACAGGAGCAATTGTGATTGGTCATGTGGCTGTTCACAGGGAGCTGGTGTGGAAATCTACCCAGGAAGTGTCTGCAGTCTGGTTGGAAACAGCATCCATCACTGTAGAGACGGGATTCTGATCAAGGTGGGTCGACATGTGGAGTCAGAAACAGGAACCTCAGCCTGCTGCTCTGGAGTCTGATGAGTTTCAGAGCAGCAGAATATTCTGTTCCAGAGAACATGGCTGGTTCTCCAGAAGTGATGTTGCCACACTAGCATGCCTTCCTCAGCGTCCGATAGTGTGACTTCTGCTTGATCCTTTAATAAGGTCATAAACTGATCAGTGTCCTCCAGCCTCGCTGCGTTTTGTCACCTCACGTCCTGCTGCTGCTGCTGCTGTGCAGCACCTGCTTGAGCGTTTTTGGATTACACACCTGGCAAGATGACAGCTTATCAAACAGCAGGGGTCTCGCGTCCATCACCAACAAGTCAAAAATGGCCTCGACCAGAGCGTTTTGGCTTGGTAACAAAGTCATCCATTGAAGAGGAATGCTTTTTTAGCATTGTAACTTAGCAGGATACAATAAATCATTAGCTTTTGTAATGTTAGAGCAAATATGTGCTTACATGTGCTAAAGGTAATGAAATGGACCTCACTACTGTTGTCACACGCCGTTGATGCTAGCAGCTAACGAGAGATGAATAGCTTCGTGCTCCAACACGACATGCTTCCTTGTAAAGTCCATGCATCGCTGTTGTGCTCTGGTGAAAGGAGAGTTGTACTTTGCAGATTTTGCGCTGGTTGAGCTTCTCTTTTATCTTTGTGAAATGCTCCCAGACCTTTGAGCTATGTTGCCGGCTTGTCATGTCTTGTTTTTTTCTGGTGACACAACGGTTCTCCTGGAAGCCCTCACATGCGCATGTGCCTCGATGAACGACGTCGACTGCTCCGCTTATGTTTGATTATTTTGTTTGTTGACGCCATCGTGACAAATCTACTAATTGTGGCAGCACTAGACACTTTCAGGGTTTTCTAATATTCTGTCACAGCCCTGTAAAGGTTTGTTTGAATGAACAACCACATTTAGAGACTTTAGGAGGCAGAAACTACCTTTGGAGCTGAGATCAGCTGCCTGACGAGAACAATTCTGCTGTTTTCTGACAGCTGTGGCTCAGAATGTAGAGTTGATGTCCAGTGATCGGAAGGTTGCAGGTTCTATACTGGCTCTGACCAGAGAATTCTGCTGTTGTGTCCTTGGGCAAGACACTAATCCCCCGCCTTGCCTGCTGGTGGTGGTCAGAGGGACCGGTGACACCAGTGCCCGGCAGGCCTTGCCTCTGTCCAAATATACTGTGTGTGTGTGTGTGTGTGTGTGTGTGTGTAGGACTTTGCCAATGCGCTGGATGGGATGCCAGCCATCACCATGGAGAACAACAACATCCACAACAACGAAGGCTACGCGGTGATTCTGGTGAAACCAGGTGATGGAAAATATCAGGTTCTGGCTGAGAGGAGAGAAGGTAGGCAGAACTTCCTTTGTGTCAACACCACAAAGCAAACACTGGATTTAATGAGTCCGTTTACAGAAGATCGTCCTGGAGCTGAATCGAAGGGGGACATTCCCTCCACGGACATGTCCACCAGCAGCTCAGCACCTGCTACACCTAAGTCAGCAGAGACCAACAGCATGGAGGAGGACCTGGCTTCCGCTGTGAACAGGAAGTGGCAGTTCAGCCGTCAGATAAGCCGAAACAAGGAAGTGTCCTGCAGCCGACCAGTCCAGGATCTGATGGAGCACCAGATCTTTGTTTCAGTTCAGGGGAACCAGTTCAGACGCAATGGCAAAGGCGACTTTGGCACCTTCTTCTACTGACTCACCCTACAACTACAGAAATACAGAATGTATGAACGTTTTGCACAAATTATCTAATTTATTTCTTTTGGCTTCAGGCTTTACCTTTTGAACAGTTTTGTAGTTTAGTTTGAATTAACAGTGGTTGTAGTTTCAGCATCAGTGATGTGGGTGACGTTTCACCGTGGATGTTGTTTATGGCTGAGGGACGTTTTCAGGTGTGTTGGTGGTTAGAAACAACTGATTTCTAAACACGAATGTTTTACGTTGCTATGACTACATGTATTTCTAAGCAGATTAAAGTGTTTTAAAACCTCTTGATGTTGTCTGACTCATAGGTGTTTCTAGTCAAGTTATATAAAAATAAAAAACCGTTAAGTCACAATCTCCTTGCTTTCTACAGGAAAAAAATTTGTTCAATAAAGATTGAAACACAAACATGAAGCTAAATGAGGAGCTCTATGAACATATTGAACGCTGCTTTAAAAAATACTGAATGTGAAATATGGCTTTTCTCTACTGCTGACTGATGAAAGGAAGTCTGATGTGCTTGTTGTCATTTTGCAGGAGGTTGAACGATCTGACAAGGTAGTTAGCTCGTTAAAAAATTGCGCTCAACACTCCCAGGGCTTTTTTTGTGGCCTTTACGGCTATTCATTGGTAGGCTCCTCACGGAACACAAAAATGTAGCTTGTTTGTTATGATTTAGGTACGTACTGCCCCCTAGTGGCAGAAAACTACAGACCGTCGCTTAAAGTAGTGGTAATCCCCTGTCAGAGTCTTACTCCACCCACATTTCATATTTGAAAAATGCGCCCCGAAAGAGGCGTTTCCTGTAAGACCGAGAAGGCGGAGCTACGGCCGTGATTGACATACTGAAATTTGAATACAGATGGCGACGGAGAGCGACACTAGCTCAGAGCAGTCATTCGAGGTGGAGGACTTTTCCCCACCTTCTTCCCCAGAGGATAGGGAGGAGGGCTTATTGGGGGAAGCAAGCGGTCCTGAACCGTATCTTTTTGAGCCACTAGCTCGTGAGTTGTCAGAGGCCCCTGGAGTCGAGCCAGCAGGAGTATCAAGGCATTGAATGGGTCCAGTCTCTGAGTGGTAAGTAGCTTTTAGCCACAGCTAGCTATATTTAGCTTAGCTAAAAGTAATATTGTATGACTGCCTCAACAGGTGCACCTGCGGACACTGCACATCATTGTCTGCCAGAGAAAATGTGTGCTGCAGAGAAACGCCCAAGGTATAAAAATAAAAGTACCCCACCATGAGAAAAGCATTCTGTAATGTACACATTTGTTACACAATCACTAACATCATACTAATATTGAACTCTTATAGCCCTGATATCAGTTGTTCTATTTCGTCTAGTCTTAGCCCTTAAGCGAGCTGCTATTGGAAGGGTGATCTCATCATCAGCCAATCATGAAGAGCTTAAATGTACGCCCACCACGTGGGCACCCCTTGTGGGTTATATAAGTGGAGCGACTCCACTGCTCGCCTCCGTTTTCTCTTCACGTCAAGCTTAAGAGCTTCCTTTAAGAGCAATTATACAAGAAAAATCTACTCACCGACCATGTCCAGCGACGCCAGGACCTGCCCGGCCTGCCAGACGGGCTTCATCTCCAGCGGCGACCTGCACGCCAAGTGTGAGGTCTGTCTCGGGGCTCACCACACTGGCCTGGCCTTGACCCCCAGGCCTCGTGCCTGTTTTGTACTGCTCTGCCTGTGGCTGAAAAGGTCCACCGGGTCGAGTACTTCACCCCCTCCACCGACGAGGAAATTCCGGTGGCTGGCACGTACTCGCTGGACAAGGCGTTACGGTTCTTCAACGTCGGCCAGGAGCCGGCTGGCTCCTACCGATTGGACGGTGTCATCGACAGCGAGGAGTACGACGAGGCTGGCTGCCATAGCCCTTTTTCCCTCCTGTACAACACGGAGGTCGACGAGCCTCATGAGGAGAACGACGAGGCTGGCTGCCGCAGCCATTATTCCCTCCTGTACAACACGGAGGTCGACGAGCCTCGTGAGGAGCATGACGAGGCTGGCTGCCATAGCCCTTTTTCCCTCCTGTACAACACGGAGGTCGACGAGCCTCGTGAGGAGTACGACGAGGCTGGCTGCCGCAGCCATTATTCCCTCCTGTACAACACGGAGGTCGACGAGCCTCGTGAGAAGAACGACGAGGCTGGCTGCCATAGCCCTTTTTCCCTCCTGTACAACACGGAGGTCGACGAGCCTCGTGAGGAGCACGACGAGGCTGGCTGCCGCAGCCATTATTCCCTCCTGTACAACACGGAGGTCGACGAGCCTCGTGAGGAGTACGACGAGGCTGGCTGCCGCAGCCATTATTCCCTCCTGTACAACACGGAGGTCGACGAGCCTCGCTCAGCGGGTCCTTCTGCTCCAGTGGTTTCTCGCTCCTCCCTGCCAGCAGTTAGAGCGCTGCTCCAGGAGCTGCCCGCCATCATCTCCGCGACTGCGACCCGCAAGCGGCTAGCCGTTCCAGAACCGGCTCCCCTGAGGCAGATGAATTGGCGGGAATTTTCGGGGCAACACAGACGCGCTGTCCAGACCCCGTCTGGCCGCGCTTCCCAGCTGCCATGAGCTGCTGGTCCGCCGCTTCCGAGCCTGCCAGGCTCGAGGCGCCAATTTTCACATATGCGCCCATTACCAAGGTCGAGGGCTTCTCCGACCAGGGCTGGCCATCTGTTCCTCCACTGGAGCCGGACTTGACCTCGCTGTGTGGCGTCAAGAACCACCTCACTGGACCGCGAGCAGTTCCCGCTAAGCATGACCAGCTGCTGAGGCGGCTCGCCGATCGCGCACACCAGTGCGCCTTCCAGACCGGCGCTGCAGGAAATACCATCGCCTTCTCGCCTTTGGCGTTTCCAAAATGGTGGAGGAGCTTGACTCTCCTGTCGAGTCAAAAACCATCATTACTAAAACTGCTGATGCCATCCTCAATCTGTGCGCTGCTGTACTCACCGGTTCTGCTCGCATTGCTGCCTGGCAGACCCTTATCCAGCGGCCTTGTGGCTCACGGCCCTGCCCTCCATTCCTGAACACCTGCACAGAGAGATGCTGGAAGGCCACATCACCTCTGACGTTCTGTTTGGTCCCCATCTTACGAGCGTCATCTAGAGGGCTCAGCGGCTGAACTTTCAGCCACGGTGCGAGACCTGGTCCACTCTCGGTCAACCTCGCACTCCGGCCGTTCCCCCAGAGGATGGGACAAACGGCGCGGAAACTCCATGCGCCCAGCTGCACGGCCCGCCCCGCGGAGCCGGCCTCCAGCTGAGGCGGGGCCAGGGAGTTGGCGGCCAACGGTTCCGAACGAGCCAGCAGACACAGCTTTGGCAGTCACAGGAACCTCGCTGAAAACAACCACGAAAACGACTTGTTGGGGGGAATGTGTGTGCTTATGGCTGCAATGTTAACTCTGTGAATTATTTTGGTTTTGAAATAAAACTCAAAAAACGTCACATCGAGAGCAGAATCCTACAGTCCTCTGCAGAACCTTCTGCCGAATCCTCACACATGATGTTCCCCGCACCAAGCACTGCAGCACATCTGCATGTTCACACAGTCGGACTCGGTCATGTTACACGGTTAGCTGTGAAAGGGTGCGCTCCATTTGCGCACCGCCCCCAGCCTACGGCCAGGCCCGACTCATCCCGCTTCCCCCCACAACGTTGGGTGGGACGGGATGTCATGGCACTGTCGCGACCACGCGCACATTGCGCGGCTCCATCCGCTGGCACTTTGACGTCCCCGTGCACGGGCCCGGTTCCCACTCGTCCTTCATGGACTCCACGCTCTGCGGTGCGGATCAGCCTCTTCCAGCTGTTTCACACTCGCCCTTTCGAGCACAGCCCTCCATGGGTCGCTCCCAGTTCTCTGGTACGAGCGACGGCGGTAAGGGCGCGAAACCAATCCTCAGACGTTGCTCACGTGACCTCGAGCACACGTCCGCTGTCGGAACGCGCGCACGAATGCCTCCCTTTCGGCTACTCGCTAGCCCAGCGCACTTTCTCCAAATGTCTGGAGACCGCGCTGCAGCCACTGCGCACGGCGGGAACGAGGGTTTTATTTTACCGGGACGATCTGCTCCGATGCGCCCGGTCCGAGGACGGGGCGTCAGTGCAAACCAGGAGGTTAACAGAGCATCTGTCAACCCTGAGGTTTTCTATAAACTGGGGGAAGAACTTCGTTCTTCCATCCCAGTCGATTATGTTTCTCGGGGTGGAGCTGAACGCCTCTCTAATGAGAGCACGTTCGTCGCCGGTGAGAGCGGCAGATCTCACCACGGTGATCTCCCGCGTGCAACTCCGCGAGATCGTGAGAGCCCTGTTAGTCATGAGACTTCTGGGCATGATGGCTGCAGCCCACTCGGTGGTGCTGCTGGGGTTGTTGCACTCGAGGCGCCTGCAAAGTTGGTTCATCTGCCTCCGGGTACACCCGATACGTCAGAAGAGACGTATGTTGAGGGTTTCCCCCCTCAGTGGGCGGGGACCTCGCTCACTGGGGGAATCCCTGCATCCCCTCACACGGGATTCCCATCGGACGTCCTGCGTCACACGTATCTGTGTTTACGTATGCGTCACTGTCTGGGGTGGAGGGCACGTGCTTGTCCCATACGGCGGCAGATCGCTGGCCCTCCCACACGCACGAGCACATAAATGTGTTGGAGCTTATGACAGTGAGGAATGTGTTCATGCACTTCGCTGCCCTTCTCGATGGCCGTCATGTCGAAGTTCACACAGACAGCCAGGTGGCGGCAGCCTACATAAATCGCCAAGGGGGAGTTCGATCCCCCCCTCTATTGCGCATAGCCACAGATTTACTGTGTTGGGCACATGTCCACCTGCTGTGCCACCTACATTCCGGGGATCCTGAATGTAGCGGCAGACATCCTGTCGAGAGGGGGTCCCCGCGACTCCGACTGGCGTCTGCATCCCGCGCTGATATCACAGATCTGGATAAGGTTCGGGGAACCGTGTGGATCTGTTCACGGCTCGCGAAAACGCTCAGTGTCGCCTGTGGGTTTCCCTGAGTCTCCGGGACCAAACCTCGCTCGGAGCGGACGCCTTCTCACACCAGCCCGGGCTTCGAACGCTCCTTTATGCGTTTCCACCAGTCCCTCTGATTCCCCGTCTCCTGGACCGAGTTCGGTCAGAACAGCTCTCGGTAATTTGGCTCCCAGACGCCTGTCCGCGTCATGGCTTCCGGACCAGCAAGCGCTACTGTCCGGCTCCCCGTGGAGACTCCCGCGAAGGGAGGACGCCCCTCCCCAGGCGGATGGGATAATCAGACATCCTCCGGAAATAAGCCATCGGCTGTGGGTCTGGCCGCTGAGCGGTTTTGATTAGGGGTTTCTGGGCTGCCACATGATGTGGTCGCCACGATTCAGAGTGTGCGGGCGCCCTCTACCATTGCATCTTACGCTGCTAAATGGACAGCTTTCCAGAAATGGTGCACAGAGCGGAATGTTCAAGCGCTCTCCTGCCAGCTGGCGGATGTCCTATCATTTCTGCAGCTACGGACGGACAGGGGCCTCGCATTCAGCACTATTAAAACATATGCTGCAGCTATCTCATGCTGTCATCAGGGTTTTGGTGATAGATCTGTTTTCGATCATCCCCTCACAAAACGTTTCCTAAAAGGTGTCAGAAGGAACAGACCTGTGTCCCGTCCGCTAATTCCCCAGTGGGACCTAACGGTGGTTCTGCGTGGCTTATCTGAAGCCCCATTTGAGCCCTTGGACCAGGTCTCACTCAAGTTCCTGTCACTTACAACTGCCTTGCTGCTGGCATTGGCATCAGTCACGAGAGTGAGCGACCAAACCGCCCTCTCCGTGGCTCCCGCATGCCTCAGGATCCGGGCAGATGGCGGGTCTGCTGTTTTCTGCCCCAACCCAGCCTTTGTGCCCAAAAAACATTAATGCTTCCTTCAAATCCAGGTGAATTTCATTGGCTGGACTTTTTCCTCCTCCCCATAATTCTGAGGAGGAGCGGCTTCCCCTCTTCTCTGCCCGGTGCGCGCGCTCGCACGATATGTGTCACGCACTTCAGGGATTCGCCGCTCACAAAGCCTGTTTGTGCACTACAGGGAGTCTTCCCTTGGGCACGCGCTGTTGGCCCAGCGCCTTTGACTCTGGCTATGTGACGCCATTTCACTCGCTTACACATCATCGGGGCTGCATCCTCCTGAGACACTCAGGGCTCACTCAGCCAGAGGGATTTCCTCTTCTGTGGCGCCCCACAGTGGTGGGTCAATGGAAGTCATTTGTCAGGCTGCTTCATGGGCTTCACCCTGTTCCTTTACTCGTTATTATTTACGAGATGTGTCTTCAGGATCCATCACTCGTTCAGTGCTTGGACCTCAGCAGGCTGAGTGAACGCATTATGGCACCTCATCAGCCCTGCTTGAATGAATTTCATCCTCTTGTGGATGATATTTTTTAGTGGTGGCCCCACTCTTCTCTCTGGCTGCCTCAGCCTTTTAAGCCCTGGGCTGAGGCTGAGCTACCCCCACTAAAAGGAGACATGTTGGGTGTGTCCATTGGTTGAGCTAACCAGTGTGGCGTAAACCCATCCAGCTGCGCTTTATTCCAATAGCAGCTCGCTTAAGGGCTAAGACTAGACGAAATAGAACGTTGGTTACGTATTGTAACCCCAGATTCTATGAGTCTAGTCGCAGCCCTTAAGCCACTTGGCCACACTGGTTCTGTTAGGACTAAGAGCCATCGGAGGCGAGCAGTGGAGTCGCTCCACTTATATAACCCACAAGGGGTGCCCACGTGGTGGGCGTACATTTAAGCTCTTCATGATTGGCTGATGATGAGATCACCCTTCCAATAGCAGCTCGCTTAAGGGCTGCGACTAGACTCATAGAATCTGGGGTTACAATACGTAACCAACGTTCTTTGTCATAGGTAATGCTCAGGTGTCAGCAGGTGGGTGTAACCTCCTGCATAACTAAGCATCCTGGTTTTGAGGCTGTTGCTCTGAATCCCTACGTGTTGCAGGCAGTTTATGGCACCTTTCTGCAACTCTATGGGGAGATGCAGGAGACTACGCTCAACAGGTAAGACAACTGTCAAATTACTTTTTTTATGAATACTTTGTAACTCATACCACCTCTTTCTCAGCTGTTACAGACATCTGGCGTACCGGAATGTGGTCAGGTGGTGTTGGGGTTACCTGGGACAGCACGTTCGTGTTGTGATCCCGTCATGCGCTGTCTCCAGAATAAGGCAGGAGTTCCCAGAAGACGGTGCATACAAAGGATTCCTCCCTCCTCTGAACTAATATATATTTTTTGGATTAAATAAATGTTATAATATATATTTCCTCTATTGATTCCTGTCCATAAAAAGCTGCATAAATCACAAAACGGTAAATGCACTTCTTTACACTTTGACATTATTTATATATACACACATACAGCCACACACTTTCAAATGAGCTCTTACAACAGTAAGGTTCTAATTCGGGGTTAATTAATGCTGCTGTTACAAGTGAGTTTACACCCTGTGTGATTAATGAAGTCTAATCTAGAGCAGGTTCAATTAGGTAAAAATGAATGATAATTTAATAAATGTGATATATGTATTTATACACATCAAAATATCAATATAATTGTATTTAAAATGACACAATTGCGCTGCAAAGATAACATTTATTATAGCTACTACTAAGACAACGTTAGATTACAATCTGATCATAACTTTCATGATTTTTGACAAAACTAAACCACAAGCAGAGATTCTGGAGCCATGTGAGGAGAGGTTGGGCCATCAGTGATGTTTCATAGGTTCCTTAGACTGGAGGTAGCTTTCACTGTGATGACAAACGTGCAGATGGATCCCGGGAGCACAGGCTTTTCTGTAACAATATCAGGAGGCTCTGAGGAAAAAGGAATATTAGTATGACTTACAAAAGCAAGACTGGTGAGTTTTGCTTTGTTACATACGGCCAAGATTTTCAAGTTGTATGGGAGCCACAGAGCAGAAAGGTTGTAGAGATCAATAGACATCTGGGAGGTGGACAGCATGAGTCACGAGTGGATGAGCATAAAGATCCATAATGACGACACGTAACTCCTCTGTCGTACAGTGGTGTGCAGCCTGGCTGAGGAGGAGAAAAGGAAAAACCACACAGAGTAGAGTACTAACTAATAATTACAATCTCTTGTTGTGTAGCTCACCTTACGTGCACTTTAAAACCTGGACCTGTGCCTGCTCACAGCATCCCGTTTATCTGGTCTTTGGAACTGGGCACAGAGCGGTTCTGGAACCGGAATTTTGTCCGAGTACTCCTGATATGGGAGAGGATCCACCACCACAGAGTCGAACAGCAGGTCCATAAGCTTGTGCACATATACTGGAAAAGGGTTTTCAGTATTACAATAGCTCTCCATGACATCATTTTGGTTTTATCATACAATATATGACATAGATGAGGTTGGATTGGTCTTCAGGGCTCTCACTGTGTAGTCTCCATGTTTGTACTTTGGGTACACTACAGCATATCTCAGCTCACCAGTTGCTGTTGCTGCATGTGAGCGTGCTGCATTTTCATTATAGTGCATTGCAGCAATTTGTAATCTGAAATAATCAAATAAACAAACCATGTAGATTTTAGGCAAAATTCTACAATTCATTCTAAAATTTGAACAATTAGAGGCATTAATTTGAACATTTGATGTATTCATTACCTGGACAGCATTCCTTTGAAGGAGAAGACCTGACTTTTTGGAGTAAATCTGATGATGAGACTGTGGAAAGCCTCCGAGGTGGATGTGGTACTGAGGGCTTATCTTCTCTACGTCCTTCACAAACCGTGGAGCTAACAGAATGGCAGTGAGCTTCTCACATGATGCTGCGCCTACGTAGAAAATGTTAATTACAAAAATTACAATTTGATCAACTTTAGAATGTTGCTATTATTTCATTGAGAAAAAGTTACCCATAGCTGACATTTTTAGATGACAAATGTATGAAAGAGTGACTAATAGTGCTGTAGACAGGTGTGGTCATTACTTACGGCATTTTAGTACATATTATGTCAATTATGGCTGTTCTGCCTAAAACCATGAGTTGTGTGGCTCACTCTTGTGTTTAAATTTCTGCACAGCATTTTATTCTTAGTAATTAATTGCTGTTGGCCAAATGGTGGTGTGTGACCTTAGCAGCTACATGTGACGTCTGTAACTCTCATGCTCCAAAAATATTTCTCCATGTTGAAGGAGGTGAAGACAAATATTCTGTTGTGGGGTGACGTGTTCTAAATGTAAAGAAACCAAACAGTAAAGGCTCAGCTTTAATGAGTACATGCTACACTTACTTGGTTTGAGCCACTGTCTTGCCTGTTCTCCATCCAGAGGTGCATGCAGACAGCTAGGGAACAGGGCGTTGTCATGGCTGTGCACATTTTGGATGTGGTTGGCAACTGAAGTCCACTTTGCTACTGCCTCCTGTCCTGAGGAGGAACTGGATGCTGACCAGTAGAGGTGGTTCACCACACTTTCCTTCCACAGTCTCACATCCTGGGTCGTCTTTCTCTTCCCCAGCTCTTCGATTTTCTTACCAATTCCTGGAGAGCCAAATAGACCCACATTTAAAATAGAAAAAAAAAATCCTGTAATATTCACTATATACATCCCCAAAGATTACCTTTTCCCATGTGCCAGGGGTCAAAGTAGTGACTGATTTCCTTTTTTCCTCCCGCAAATACTTCTGCAGCCCTGTGTGGCGGTCAGTCACGACTTGCTGCACATCGACCCCTCCCTCCAAAAGTGTGCCCAGACTTCGCACAAATCCCTCCTTCTCAATTCGCACACTATTTCCAACTTCATTGCTCTGAAAATAAACATAATTCTCCATTGATCTGTGAATAATTAACCATGAAATGCATTGGAATCATCAGGTAATGTTGTACCTGTACAAGTTGGATATCAGTAACTTTGTTTCTTTTGAGATCCTTCATGGTGCAGCTGCCATATTTGGCTGAGTTTCCTTCAAGAAATGCAAGTTATTACTTAATTTACATTTGATAGCAAAGGAATAAAATAAATAAATGTAAGCGTATTCACCAGGTGAATCAGCTCGCATGTCACCACCAAGAGTCACAGGTCCAGATTCAGTAGCCTCCTGGATGAAATCAGCTTGCTCTAGCTGCCACTGCCAGCTCACTGTTGGAATTAACAGCTTTGCCTGATGTCGACAGAATGTCTGCTTGGACAGTCCCTGCACATTGAAGGCACCCAGGAACTAAAATATGATGGCTAAATGATGATCCTGTGAAAAGGACAGCAGCACAGAGCTGGAGGTTTCCTGCTGGGATGCTGTTCACCATGGGCTGACTGGACCACTCATTGTAGTGCTCACAGCATGAACACCGTTGTGTCACACGGAGCAGTGTGCCGACTGTTGTCGTGTTCACAACACAACGACCGGTACAAACGGGACACCTTCTGAACAGCCCCAGCAACTGTTTCTCATGAACAATGTACTTCTTGTCCTTTTGTGGATGGACCTCAGTGAAAGAGCTGTATAGAACACATACATTTATATATATGGTCATATCTAAAAAATTCTAAAATGTTATAATTTTTTTTTACCTTGAACAGTTCACTGAGCTTGCACTGTCATTGAGGTGGAAGCTGGGATCAACAACAGACACCTCATATCGTGGTCTTTTCAGGGGTGTGGACGCAGCTCTGGGACTTTGTGGAAGATGAATTTCCATCACGGTCCCTGTGTCACAAGACACACTGCGGCTGGGAGCTCTAAACTGGGTGGCTATGTAAAATACAAAGAAGCAGCACATTTATAAATGTTTAAAAGAGCATAAAATCATGTGTAACAATAATCTGCAAAACAAATTAAAACTAGAAGGTAATAATAAAATGTTTACATAGAAGATTATTAAAAATAATTCACCTTTGCTATGTCGATAAGGCTTTACATGAGCCTGGACAAGTGCATTTTTGCAGATTACTAAATCAGTCTGACAGCCAACGCCTTGGGTAGATTTAGCCTGAAAAAAAAAATAGAAGCACATTGTTGTTGTTGTTTATAAAGTCAGATAATATACAAAAGAAACTGTCCGAAATATATATATATATATAGGCGCTTTATGACATTCCTAGTGTGTGATCGTTATTATAACGTAAAAGTCAGTCACATATGATGTGAAGAACCTGAAATGCGACCTCCTGAACAGAATTCCTCACAGAACCGGGTTAGGCTTTGGTGTAAAGCTGGATTTCACGCTGTAATGATGTCTGTCAACTAGTGCTGCGTTAGAGCCACTGTTGCTGAATTACCGACTGACACAAAAACAACCCGGATTTTCTCCGAGCCTGACAGAAATAGTCATGTGGACCTTTTTGTCGGCCAGGGCTTCGAGAAATGTTCCGATTCGCCGCTGATTCTAACCTTACATCCCGTTCCACATTTTGTGAACTTGACAATTTAGCCCGAAGGCAGTGCAGGCTGATATTAGCTAAATGGAGTGAACCACGTCTCTCAAACTTTGCATTTAGGTAGGGAATTGTCTTTAGAAGATGTTAAAACGTTTATTTAGCTTACTCACCTCAGACTGGAGCCCGCCATGGTGGGGGAGCAGAGTTGGTGGGCTGCATCTAATTCGTGGAAGAGCCACAGTGGGCACGGCCTCACTCTTCAAACGGAGACGTGCAGAATAACCCAGTTCAAACTCCATCATGTTGGCGAAGGAATCGCAGGTAAAATGCTGGTTGCAGACTACAGCACCAGGCGGGAGCTGACTGTTATCCTGTACACCGATTGCGCGCAACCACTGGCGCCTAATTTCTAAGTCCAGTGGAAAGGAGTGCCACCCCACAGAGCTACCACAACCAACTACACTACACCTTTTAACCATACTAACACTATCTGGAACACTAAACCCAAATTATTTTCCTAATAAAACTAACAGCTAAACACTAACTAAACTACAATATCTAACAGCCAAGCTGACACTAAATAAGTACTAACACTATATAGAGCACTAAACCCGAACTACTTTCCTAGTAACACTAAAAGCCAAACACTAACTAAACTACAATATCTAACAGCCAAGCTAACACTAAATAAGTATTTATAACACTAAAAGCTATGCTAAAGACTATAATATGCTAATGATATATGCTAATGCTGAACTACCGCTAACCGTCCGACCCTCGCTTGCAAATCCAACTCCCAACTCGCCACAAGGTGTGGCCGAGACTCTCGTTGCTTTATAACTTTGGCACAAGAGCTGCTACGTAGTACTCTACTGGTTTACGTAGTATCTTACTCTTTAGCCATTGGCTAAAATTTATTCAAAATGTGTCAAATTCTGTGTTTTAAGCTGAAGGTGGCGCATTACTGTGGTTTTTAGGCTGAATATTTAATTTTTAAAGAAAATGCACCAAAATGCTAAAATAATGAATACACACATTTAAAACACTATTAGACACTCATTTATACAGTTCATCAGCAAAAAAAAAGTTAATTTAGACGTCACTTGCTCTTTAAAGGCGGCGTTCTAAACACACATTTGGGGGCTTATAACTTGGCTTCTGAATGTCTCCGAGAGGTCAGGTTTGTTTGAGGGTACTCCAACCAACAGCCCATATTACCCCAAAAAGGAATGGAGTCATTAGCACTTATGGTTTTTAAATGGCACCCAGAATTATGTTTCACAAAGCGCAATTTCACATCATTCCGGGCCCATTTCTCAGAAAAAAAGCTTCAATCAGGCTGAAACGTCACAGAAAAGTAGAATCTATTGAGTTGTAAACGATTCCTGTGTTTCATGATGATAGCACATTCCTAAGGGCGTCAAATCAGGACATAAAGGTCACCGGATCACTTGTTCCTTAAAGGCGGGGTTCCAAACACACCTTTGGGGGCTTATAACTTGGCTTCTGAATGTCTCAGAGAGGTCAGGTTTGTTTTAGGGTACTCCAATCAACAGCCCCTATTACCCCAAAAAGAAATGGAGTCATTAGCACTTATGGTTTTTAAATGGCACCCAGAATTATGTTGCACGAAGCACAATTTCACATCATTCTGGGTCCATTTGTGTGAAAACAAGGTCCAATCAGGCTGAAACGCTACAGGAAGGTAGAATCTATTGAGTTGTAGGTGATCTGAACGTTTTATGTTGATAGTACATTCCTAAGGGGGTCAAACCATGTCCCAAAGGTCACCAGGCCTGGTGTCACTTTAAAGAAGTAGTCCGGTTACACCTTTGTGGGCTTATAACTTTTCTTCTAAATGTCCTAGAGAGGTCAAGTTTGTTTTAGAGTACTCCAATTTCCAGCCCCTACAACCCCCAAAAGGAATGGAGTCATTAGCACTTATGGTTTTTAAATGGCACCCAGAATTATGTCGCACAAAGCACAATTTCACATCATTCCGGGTCCATTTCTCAGAAAAAAGCTTCAATCACGCTGAAACATCACAGAAAAGTAGAATCTATTGAGTTGTAATTGATTCCTGTGTTTCATGATGATAGCACATTCCTAAGGGGGTCAAGTTAGGTCATAAAGGTCACCGGATCACTTGTTCCTTAAAGGCGGCAATCTAAACACACCTTCTGGGGCTTAACTTGGCTTTTGAATGTCTCAGAGAGGTCAGGTTTGTTTTAGGGTACTCCAATTAAGAGCCCCTATAACCCCAAAAAGGAATGGAGTCATTAGCACTTATGGTTTTTAAATGGCACCCAGAATTATGTCGCACAAAGCCCAATTTCATATCATTATGGGTCCATTTGTGTGAAAACAAGGTCCAAATCAGGCTGAAACGCTACAGGAAGGTAGAATCTATTGAGTTGTAAGTGATCTGAACGTTATATGATGATAGCACATTCCTAAGGGGGTCAAACCATGTCCCAAATGTCACCGGGCCTGGTGTCACTTTAACGAAGTAGTCCTGTTTCACCTTTGTGGGCTTATAACTTGTCTTCTGAATGTCCTAGAGAGGTCAGGTTTGTTTTAGAGTACTCCAATTACCAGCCCCTATAACCCCAAAAAGGAATGGAGTCATTAGCACTTATGGGTTTTAAATGGAACCCAGAATTATGTCACACAAAGCACATTTTCACATCATTCCGGGTCCATTTCTCAGAAAAAAGCTTAAATCAGGCTGAAACGTCACAGAAAAGTAGAATCTATTGAGTTGTAAACGATTCCTGTGTTTCATGATGATAGCACATTCCTAAGGGCGTCAAATCAGGTCATAAAGGTCACCGGATCACTTGTTCCTTAAAGGCGGCGTTCTAAACACAACTTTGGGGGCTTATAACTTGGCTTCTGAATGTCTCAGAGAGGTCAGGTTTGTTTTAGGGTACTCCAATCAACAGCCCCTATTACCCCAAAAAGGAATGGAGTCATTAGCACTTATGGTTTTTAAATGGCACCCAGAATTATGTTGCACGAAGCACAATTTCACATCATTCTGGGTCCATTTGTGTGAAAACAAGGTCCAATAAGGCTGAAACGATACAGGAAGGTAGAATCTATAGAGTTGTAAGTGATCTGAACGTTTCATGATGATAGCACATTCCTAAGGGCTCAAACCATGTCCCAAAGATCACCGGGCCTGGTGTCACTTTAAAGAAGTAGTCCAGTTACACCTTTGTGGACTTATAACGTTTCTTCTGAATGTCCTAGAGAGGTCAGGGTTGTTTTAGAGTACTCCAATTAACAGCCCCTATAACCCCAAAAAGGAATGGAGTCATTAGCACTTATGGTTATTAAATGGCACCCAGAATTATGTCACACAAAGCACAATTTCAAATCATTCCGTGTCCATTTCTCATAAAAAAGCTTCAATCAGGCTGAAACGTCACAGAAAAGTAGAATCTATTGAGGTGTAATTGATTCCCGTGTTTCATGATGATAGCACATTCCTAAGGGGGTCAAGTTAGGTCATAAAGGTCACCGGATCACTTGTTCCTTAAAGGCGGCGTTCTAAACACACATTTGGGGGCTTATAACTTGGCTTCTGAATGTCTCAGAGAGGTCAGGTTTGTTTTAGGGTACTCCAATCAACAGCCCCTATTACCCCAAAAAGGAATGGAGTCATTAGCACTTATGGTTTTTAAATGGCACCCAGAATTATGTTTCACGAAGCACAATTTCACATCATTATGGGTCCATTTGTATGAAAACAAGGTCCAATCAGGCTGAAACGCTACAGGAAGGTAGAATCTATTGAGTTGTAAGCATAGACTGTACATATACTGGACAATTTGATTCCATAGGCTTCAATAACACGTTATCTGTCCATAATGGGAGGTGTCCACCACCGCCATTTTGACCGTGTCACAGGTTCCGTCCAGCCCAGACAATTCCATAAAAGGGAAGAGAGGAGGCGCTGAGGGTGTGGCTGTAAGGCTGGGCTCGAGTGACGACACCCAGGCGAACTAGCTACGAGCTAACCTGAAGCTAACCCTGGCTAACCCAAAGCTAAAGCGGAGGTGGGAGCCGAGCTAACGGATGTAGCCACCTAGCTTCAACCCAACCGGAGCTAACTGGAACACCCATCGACCTGAACCTCACACGGAGTTTAGGTGGAGGTTTTCTGCGCCTGTTCGTGAGAAGTACCTGTATTAAAAAAGTTTTAAATCGGTAAGTTTATAATTTATTTCCGTAATGAATACATTTTGCTTTGAGCAAGTTTTCAGTACAGTTTTTTTCGGCGCTATCACTCCTGAGTCGCACCAGCCATTAAATGTATCATGAAGAAGAGAAAATATATTTAAGTCGTATTTTGGGGGGACATTTCATTATCTTTCTTACAAAATCCGAGACCAAGCGTTTAACATTGCAACACAAGCACCGGTAACCATAACAGAATGAACAGCCAGCAGAGGAGAGGATGGCGGTGTTTCAAACCCTCCCGGCCGGCGTGTAGAGCTCATTCCTGGGCTGGAGCCGGCCCTCAGCACCCCGCCACAGGCTCTAACAGATGCTGGCGGTGTTTCATATATTTCCAAAACGTAATACTTGTTTGTATCTTGTACAGCCAGCTAGCCTTTATTCTGGACTCAGTACAATTTACCAAAAGTAAAGAGACATTATACAGATGAAGTAAGCACAAGATAACTTACTGGAAGACACAGAGTTATCATCAGAACCAGAACAAGAGCCTGATAACAGTCATGTGAAAATAACAGTTAAAAAGTATGTATGTATAATAGAAATAAAAATATATTAGAATTAGTGTAACTCACTGTGATCCAAACAATAAATCAGCCATAGCTGATTAGTAAATATGACATGAGGTTTGGGAGTTTTTAAGTTTCATCCTTTTATTAAATTTTTTTTCCTCCATAGCCATTTGGATCATTGGGGACAGCTGAGTGAGGCGTGGTGCCCAGAGAGCTGCAGAGACAACCTTGGCCTCCCTGACGTCTGTGTCTCCTGGTTCGGTTGGGGCGGACCATCGACATACATACATGTGCCGACACTGTGCCCTGTTTTATAAAATGTAGTGTTAAAAATAAATGTTTTTGCTCAATTACTGGAATTTCTTTGGTTAAGACAAAAGTGAGGAATAATCATTTACAAGTTATTTGTACAACAGGCCCATTTTAAATCCCAACAGTTTCTTAGCAGACAATAGAAATGTGTTCTTTACTAACTTTACTTGGTTTGAAAATCTTACTAAAATAAACTTGAGTGCCGTATTGCAAAACCCAATCATACTTGTTATGTAAACATTAGCTTTGAAGATATTTTTTACAGATATATATTTGTGTGCAACAAAAACCAAACTTAAATAATTTGTCATTCTTTATTGAAAAACAACAAAATACAGGTATACAGAAGTGTGGGAAAATGATAATGTGAAAGTATTGCACTATAAATGAAGTGAGATGAGATGAAGGTGAGATGAAGGTGGACGCCAGCGGGCTGGACGCCGGACGAGGAAACCTGGAGACGGATCGCTCAGACAGGAAGGGAAGAGCTTCCTCTTACCTTGATGGAATTAAAGTTAGCCGTCGTCTGAACGCCCAACCGTACGGTCTGAGGTCAAAGGTCACAGGAAACACACACCAGTCAGCAGTCATACAGATGCATAAAGATAACTGTAGCCATGGCAACCAGCTGACATGTCCTCACTTTCACCAGCACCTGGTGCCTGCCGGGTCACCTG